AGACTCTAACCTACAGTCCAGAGCCTTCAATATTCTAGGTTACTCTGTCCTTAGCACCAAAAAAGAAACACTTGGCTTTTATTTCTTATGTATTTTATCCTTTCTGTCTTTGTGTCATGTAGCCCAGGTTGACCTTGAGCTCCATATGTAGTTGAGACTGGCCTCTCTGATGCTCATGGTGCTGGAATCACAGTATGTGCCGTCATACCTACACACCTTGAATTCAAACCAGTGAGTCTGATCTTAGATTTTCCTTCTTGCTGATCCAGCACAGGGCCTGGTGTCTGTTAGGCCCCCACTATTGAGCCACACCCCAGGGCTCTGAGCACCAAGTTGTATAGCAGTTATCTAGAATTCTAGATCTACCTTTGTGTAACTGATGGCAGCTCCCTGTGTCCTTCTGCCCCAGTCCCTACTAGCCACCATTTCCCCTTCTACTTCTGTGGCTCTCTACATACCTTGTAACTGGAATCACAGGGTCCATATTTCATCTTATTAATTAATGTGTTTATTGAGACAGGGTCTCTCTCTCTAGTCTGCATAATGTCCTTAATATCCACCATGTTAGCTGGGCGGTGGTGATGCATGCCTTTAATGTCAGTACTTGGGAGGCAGAGGTGGGTGGATCTCTGTGAGTTCCAGGCCAGCCAGAGATACACAGAGAAATCCTGTCTCGAAAAACAAAAACAACAAAATAAAATCCACTATGTCGAACGTTACAGAATATCTTCCCTGAGGCTAAGTAATACTACATAGGATGTTTTCTCCAGGTCCCTTTGACTCTAGCAAATCTTCTCTGTATTAGCCTTAATGATGATTTAACTCCCTTCATTTAAACTGTCTCATACATTTTCTTCCATCTTATTTATTTTTTTATTTTTAATTTTTTTTTGGTTTTTCGAGACAGGGTTTCTCTGTGGCTTTGGAGGCTGTCCTGGAACTAGCTCTTGTAGACCAGGCTGGCCTCGAACTCACAGAAATCTGCCTGCCTCTGCCTCCCGAGTGCTGGGATTAAAGGCGTGCGCCACCAACGCCCGGCCTTTTCCTCCATTTTATATAAAATTCATGTCAAGGCTCTTGATCACCCCTGTCCTGGCTACTTTAACTCCTCCCCTTCCCACCACCACTACCCCATACCAGGTATCACTGTGTAACCCTGGCTGGCCTAGATCTCCCTATGTAGACCAGGCTGGCTTGGAATTCAGAGATCCTCCTGTCTCTGCCTCCCAGGTGCTGACATTAAAGGCGTGTGCCACCTCATACTTCAGCTCTTGGATTGTTCTTCCTGGCCTAACCTCTCCCAGCTTTAAGGACTGCCCAGTGGCCATTTCCTCTGCCTAGAATATCCACCCCACACATATCCCCAAAGGGTTCCCTTCCTAAATGTCATCCCAGTCTTAACTGCCAAATCCTTGCCCAGCTTTCCACTCATCTGGAAAGGTATCATTTTAATGGTGAAATGTGCAGCCTCTTGTGACCCTGGGTTTGAATCCCACCACTCTACATCAAGGAGAGAAGAATAAAGTCCTTCCATGGCTATCCAACTTGAAGCCTCTGGTACTTCCCTAAATATGTTGCTTTTAATGCTTTTAGTATTATTTACTTGTTGGCAGAGTTCAGCCATGGCTGAACTAAGTGCTAGATACATCCCAGGTACCAACCACCATTAGCTGACACTGTTGTTTTTTTGTTTTGTTTTTAAGTGTTTCTCCTTATCACTACTGAGTATTTACTTTTTCTTGGGAGAGAGAGACAGAGTTTCTCTGTGTAATCCTGGCTGTCCTGGAATTTACTATATAGACTAGGTTGGCCTTGAACTCACAGAAATCTGCCTGCCTCTGTCTCCGGAATGTTGGGATTAAAGGCGTGCACCAGTGCCAGCACTGCCCCATCAAGCATTTATGTTAATTCATCTGTGCATTTATTTCTAGTCTGTCTCTAGTACATTGTGAACTCAGAGAGAGCTAGGACAGTGTTTTTGGTTGTGAACCTAGCCTTTAACGGCTGGGCCATCTCTCCAGCCCAGCCATCTCTCCAGCCCGACAGTGTTTTTATTTGAAAGTTTGTTCCGCTTCTTGAGAGGGGCACATAGTGAGTGCTCTAAGAATCAAAACATGGCAACTATGTCACTCTGTAAACTACAAATGCTTCTCAGTGGGCATTCTGTTTGAGGTGGTATTTGTATTCTGGAGAGAGCCAGGGGAGTCTTCCAATACAGTTTGAAAGAGAAAGATAAATGATTGGAGATGGAATGAAGTATTGAGCCTAACAAAAGGACTTTGCACTCCAGGCCAGCTGGAGTTACATTGTGAAACTCTGTTCTTACAAAAAAAAAAAAAAAAAAAGAAGGGAGTTTGCAACTAAATTCATTTTTTCAAATTGTCAGTGTGTTTTTAGTTATTTTGTTGTTTAGCTTTAGATTTATGCATTCTTATTGGTTAAATTCAATATTACTCATCAAAAGGATGTCACTTTTAAAAGTTTAAACAACTAAACAAATCTCGAAATGAAAAGTACACAACTCATGTAAAACGAATTTTTCAACGTTGTTCCAGCAGAGGGGGTATAGCTCAGTGGTAGAGCATTTGACTGCAGATCAAGAGGTCCCCGGTTCAAATCCGGGTGCCCCCTTAGGATATTTTTCATTGACATTTATATGGAACTCCACTACTCAGTTATTTCAAATTCAACTATCTCCTCTACTGTACAAATTTTCCCTACCAGAATGTCCCTGGTACTTCAGAGTTAGCAGTAGTAAGAACTCCTATAATGTACTGAACTGGTGCCAATCGTAATTTGTTTTTTGTGTCAGAGCGCTGAGGTGTGAAAGCAGTAATATTTTTACCTAGTGTGTATCCTGACCCAAAAGACTAAGGATGAATCCAAATACAGACTGTTTATGTACTTGTTGGTTTTAAGACGTGTTACAGCCAGGTGTGGTGGTAGTACACGTTTGTTAAGCCCAGCACTGCACTTGGCAGTCGGAGGCAGGGGGATCAGAGTTCAAGGGAGTTTAAGATTAGCCTTGGCTTGTATATCAAAATTCAGGCCAGCCTGGGCTACATGACGACTCTATGGGGGCGGGGCGAGGGGGGGAGAAGGTGGCAGTCTAAAGATAGGAAGATGAGAACCTTCTTCACTGAAAAGTTGAGGCCTGATATCCAGCCCAGCCCAGCCCAGCATAGAACAGTAATGGGAATTGGAAGGCAAAAAATGCACGAGAGTATTCCCCTGGGGTCCTGGGATGACACAACCAGATTCCGTGTTTAAAATATCACAGCCGCACCCTGGCCCAGGAAGCACGCCTCTCCCTGTCTCTTTTCTTTTTCCTATTTTTGGGCAAAACCTAGCTGAGGCGGCCGCCCTTGCTTCCTTCTTCCCACTAAGATTTCTTCCAGCCCAGATACCGTAAGCCACGCACTCAGCAGATGGGTGGATACCTGTCCCCCTGTGAGGATTTGAAACCCGATGGCTTTGTAGTTACACTTCAGCGATCCTTAAAGACTGGGGTCCCTGAGTACCTCACCTGGATAAAATCCCCCAAAGAGCTAATTGGCAAGGCCTCCCTCCAGGTCTACACAATCGGAAGCTGTGGATGTTTTAATAAGCCCTCCAGGTCATTCTGGAGCACGCACAAGTTCGAAAACCACTATACTAATTTATATTACTTGGCTTTGAGATTTTACTCTGCAGCTGATGGGTGCGCATCTGCCGGTTTCACGCTCTCGAAGAGCTTTTGCTCGGTCTGCATCATCAAGTAACAGGGAAGCTGGAGAAGAACATAGAATAATAAAGAACACAGAATGAAATACAAAGGGAAATGAAAGCTTAGTTTGGAGAAGGACTATGTCTGTGAGTTTCCCCTGCTTTGACCTAACCTTACTCTCATGGGACACAGACCGACAACCTGGGGAGTGACCTTGGCTCCCGAACCCAAAGTTTAGAACCATCCAATAAAAACCCTCAAGGCTACCGTGGGCAGAAATCAGCACTCTGGCGCCAGTCAAATGAGGTCGCACAACTTCTCTTCCTGACAGTTGACCATAACCACGCCGCATTCTTCTGCTTAGGTACAGGGCAAAATCGAAAGCTTTCTGTTCAGACTGTAAAATGAACTAAAAACCTTTGCCTTTTTTTACCCAGAATTAAGTCAAGATCATATTTGAAATGATATGTATTTGGCCATTGAATGGAGGAAAATACTCCGAGGGGGCACCCGGATTTGAACCGGGGACCTCTTGATCTGCAGTCAAATGCTCTACCACTGAGCTATACCCCCACACCACGGTAGCGCTTAGAGCAAGTTCTTTTCAGTAGTAAGACATTGTTGCAGCTGCTACACCGGTAGAGTAAGGATGAACGAAAAGAATGAAAGCGCAAAGGTGTGTGTGTGTGTGTGTGTGTGTGTGTGTGTGTGTGTGTGTGTGTGTGTGTGTGTGTGTGTGTGTGTGTGTGTGTGTGGTTTATCAAGCTAAAAGCAGAGGATGCATGGATCCCGGGAATGCTGCAGCTCATAGGCGCAGGGAGGGTGAACAGCCGGACGCGCTGAGTCCAAAGGGAAAAGGGGCAGGTACAAACGTAGGAGAGGACGTGGGCGGGAAGGGAACTAGCTGGGGCACGGGGCGGGGCAGGTGGGGTTCCCCTCAGGTTAACGCTGGGTACCCATTGGTATAAAGAAAGTCCCCGAGTCTGGAGAATCCGTACCATCCCCACCCTCATCGGGTGCGTGGGGTCGATTCTCTCATGGGAGATCCGGCTTTGCCGCAGTCACAGACGTGTCTCCAGCGGGGGTAGGGCCGTGGCCAGGGCTACCGTCAGTCGGGGAGCCCAGTGCTGGGGGTACCCCGGGAGCTTAGGGGCTCCAGCACCCACGTCCTGCAGCCCTCCCCGGAACCCGCCCCCACGCAGCCCCACGTCGCTGGGGAGCGCGCCTGGTCGCGCGCGCCCCTTTCCGCGCCCGAGGCGCGTCCCCGCCCCAGCCAGTGCAGCCCCTCCTCCCCACTGTGTTTATTAGGGGAAGGAGGGCGGAGGCGGAGGCCAGTTCCCCAGTTCCAGTCGCCGTCGCCTGCACAGTTGCAGCCGCCGCCTTCCAGCTGCTCGCCCAAGGAAAAGGGAACGCGCGCGAGCTCGGGCGTCCCCGCCCCAGTCTTTCCCCGGAACCATGAACCCTAACTGCGCCCGGTGCGGCAAGATCGTGTATCCCACGGAGAAGGTGAACTGTCTGGATAAGGTGAGCTCCGGAACCAGCGCCGCGGGCTAGGCAGTCCCAGTGCAGCTCCCAAACGGGGGAGGAAAGAGGGACTGGGTCTTTACGGGCTCTTCCCGGTGATCCCCTGAGTAGGAGGGAAGGCGGGAGGTGACTTGGGGTGCGGGGACAGACCCTAGTCTGGAACCCGGGGAACCCAAGGCGAGGCGGTTGGCAGCCACCGCTCGAGAAGGATGGGCTCTGTGCTTCGGGACTGGGAAGACTGGGAGGGCACAGGGCACCAGGGAACCAGGATCGCCCGGGTGTGTGCTGGAGGTTAGAGGTGCAGTCCCGCCCCCCCCAGGGCCGGGAGTGAGAGAGGAGACGGCCGCTCCCTTTCCCCGCGGCGCCCAGCGCCAAGTAGGCGGAAGCGCGGGGCACTGGGGGAGGGGGCGGCGGGGGCGGGGCGGAGGCTGGGGCCAGCGCTACCCTGCGGGCTTAGGCTGCTGGTAGCCCAGCTTCCTGGCATGGAAGCTGTGTCGGGTCCATCATTCCCAGTTGTGGTGAAAGGGGCTTAGGGGCAGCACTGGAATCTCCTTTTTGAGACCTCCCTCTTTTGAACGACCTGCTGGACTGCTCCCCCTCCTTGCTGGTTCCGTGGTTGGGGAACCCGCAGACCTCCATAGCTTTCCCAATCCTTAATTCAAATTGCAAGCCACTCTGGGTGCTGGGCAGCCCAGCAGGAGCTGGGCGGGGTGGGGTGCTGGGGTGGGGAGGGTTGGAGGAGACGCTTCCCGGAGATCTGAAATTGTGCTCAGCCTGGAGACCAGCTTGGAGAACAAAGAGCTAACTTTTCAGAGCTTGTTTCATCAATGGAGGGTGGGATTGGCCGACTTTTGCGGTAGCAAGGAAAGGGGGAATTTTTTTAGAGGAGGGAGAAGGTAGCCTTCTGGAAATTAGCTGTCCCCTAGGGGCTTTTACACATCCCCGGCCCTGGACTTGTCCATCTGGTTGCCGTTACACTTTTGCAAGGGGTACTGAAGAGTGAATCTGTGTTTCCGGTACAGTTTGAGATGGGACCCTCCTGTCTTTCTGTGAATCTCCTAAAGCCTAAGGCAGTCCCTTCTGTGTGTTCCCCTCTTCAGGGACGCCTCCGTGTTGGCTCCTCATAGGTACATTGTATCTAGCTTCCCAAGCTGGGTCGGAGTTTACCTATTTCCACCTTTATGTCTGAACAGGCGATAGGCCGGCGCCTGAAAGAGGGAATTTAGTTTTGTTGGAAATGGATACTTTGTTGGATACTTTGTCTCTCCTCCCCGGGGCTAAGATTAGTTCCTTCTTAGGTACCTTTGACCCTCGAGTCCAGGTCAGGAGGTGGGGACTCGAGCTTCTGAAACATCTGAACTTTTTTTCTGGAGGAAAGGGACATGGGGCTAGGAGGAGCTTATGGAAGGTGCTGAGTTGTTCAGTCAGTGTCCCAGCGCCCGGAAGGCTTGAGCTTGGTGCTCCTTGATGGAGACCCCTCCTGCCCCCCACCCCAAAAAAAAGCTCGAGATGCTAACTGTCCTTCCATGAAGGTCTTTGCTGTTCCTGGTTAGGTGTTTTGATCCCTGCATTTGCAGTTCCCTAGGCCATCAAGTGCGTTTCTCTGTGGTCCTTGGTAATGAATGGGGAGAGGTAATGGATGATGGAAGAATTGTTAGCCTGGGAAATGGGAGACTTAGTTCTAGTTCCAGGTATATGCCCATCAGCTTTATGAATAGCTCTGGGCTTGAGTATCCCCTGCCACCAGATGTGTATTGATGATGTCATTGCCTCCGAGGTGGACGGACAGTGCAGGAGTGTGGTCAAGGCTGTTCTCTTTTCTGCCCGGCACTCCAACCACTCTCCTTGTAAAGACCTTCAATACTGTGTGTCACAGGGAAGGGGGCAGGGATCCTATGTGATAATCCCTGCCCTAGCTAGAAGATATTCAAACTGGGGTTGCCCTGGGAAGTGGGAGTGGGTGATTCCTTCCTGGTTTTAGAACTCCCCCTAGCGGAAGTGGCCCTGGAGAGACAGCTGCCTTTCACTCCCCACAGGGACTGGAAAATCCTGCTTTCCTGCTATCCTGTCTCCTCTCCCTTCCATGCCCTACAGGCAAAAAGAACAGATAAAACTGGAGCCCTGGAGAATGCTGAGCAGACACCTGGGTATGGGGAAAGTTCAGTCCCATAGGCATGGTTGCTATCCAACTTCCCAGTTCTGGTTGACAGCCAGGGAGAATCAAGGCGGACTAGCCTGATTTACTACAATCCCCTATGGCATGAAGCCTGCAGCATGGCTAGAGCCTAAGCTGTGTCCTTGGTGTGCAGTCTTTTCTCCTCCCTGGGCCTTATCTCTCAAAGGCCCAAGTGGGTAAGCCTTGTCACCAATGAAGGCCACTCTGTCCCCAGTTCTCTTCTGCATGCTGGATAAATATGTAATGCTGAGGGCAGTGTTTGAAGGAAGGAGGTTGTGGTTTGTTTCCCTAGAGGGTTTTTGGGATTGGAGCAGGAAGGAGAGCCAGGGTGACCTCATTCATTTAACAAATATTTATTGAACACCTACTGTTGAGACTCTGCCACATCTTTCTCCCTCAGTCTCTAAAAACAGGTGGGGACAGTCAGGAAGGCTAGGGGATTGGCCCCACTGATGGTTGCTTTGGAATGTCCCATTAGAGAGGGTCTCCTTTCCTCTTCCCTCAGAGGAACAAAGTCCATGTGGCTGTGAAAAACATTTTTGTTGTTGTTTGTCTTATTTTATGTGTATGGATGTTTGCCTGCATAAATGTCTGTGCACCATGTGTGTGCCTGGTGTCTGAAGAAGCCAGAAGTGCTGGATTTCCTGGGACTAGAGTTAACAAAATACGGAGAACCCACCATGTGGGTTTTGGGAGTTGAACCAGGGTCCTCTGGAAGATTCCACTCTTGCTATTACTGAGCTTTTGTTCTAGTTTCCCACAACCATGTTGTTAAACAGAACACCTTGTGGTCACTTTAGGACCAGCCATTAATACTAGGTACTACTTATTGAAGTGTATTGGCCTGCAAAGCCTCACAAACCCGGGTGGGGTTCAGGGAAGATAGCTCCTATAAACTATGAGCCCTATCAGCAAATGTGTCCAACCTTTTGACATTGGGACATGACATTGTCATCTACAAAGTTCTCTATAGAGAAATATACTGTAAAGTTGCTCAAATTGCAAAAAAAAAATTCTTCTAATATTTTAAGTAAGCTTACCATTTTGAGTTGGGCCACATTCCCTGTGACCTTACCCACAAAGAGGAGGCTAATGGACAGTCTGTCTCCCTCTGTTTAGCTAAAGTTTTATCTTTTTTTTTCCTCTAAGTCCTCCTACCTCAACTTCCTAAGTGCTGGGATTACAGTCATGTGTCACTATGACTTTCAAAGTTTTTTTTTTTTTTAAACAGGGGCTCATGTGTCCCGGGCTGTCCTTGAACTCCCAGTCCTCCTCTTACCTCCACCCCCCAGGTATTGGGATGACGGATGAGTTCTTCCAGCACACCCAGTTTTTTGTTTTTTTGTTTTTTTTTTTTCCCGAGACAGGGTTTCCCTGTGTAACTTTGGAGCCTGTCCTGGAACTCACTCTGTAGACCAGGCTGGTGTCAAACTCACAGAGATCTGCCTGCCTCTGCCTCCCGAGTGCTGGGATTAAAGGCCACACCCATTTCTTACAGTGCTGAGTTTTGAACTTGATTTTGTCTTTGTACATGCTAGGCAAGCCCTTTACCAACTGAGCTACCTCACCAGCTCCCAAAGTTCTGGCTGTTTGGGTCATCTGCTGGTGTATTTGCAAAAATCATATTTTTATTTACACTGTCTCTTCCAAAAGTGGGTCCTGCTCAGGCAGCATGGTGGTGTACACCTTTAATCTCAGCATTTGGGAGGCAGAGGCAGGAGGATCTCTGAGTTTGAGGCCAGTAGTCTGGGATACATAGTATATTCTCAGGCCAGCCAGAGCTACATAGTGAAACCCTGGGGGGGTCAGGGGGTTGAGGGGGTGGGGAGGTGAGTGGGTCCCACCCTTCCTCATCCTGTCTGGATCTAGGATCCCGAGGGCTGTGGCTCTGCGGGCTTCACATTACTAGAAGGAAATTGTGAAAGTGCACTGAGTTTATAAACCGGAGGCCCTGAGTTAGGCTGATAGCCTGAGCCTGGGTGGTGCTGGGTGCTAGTGTTGGCTCTAAAGGAGGGACAAAGCCTAACTCTAGGCTACAGGAAGGGAGGAGTTTCATACTCCAGCCCTGAGTCACTGTCACCCTAGGGAGCAGGTGACAGGCTGCAGGTACTTGAACCTGAATGAAATTCCTCTCCTTGCCTAGAGCCATGGAACCCCAGGGTCTGGCTTCAGTGAATTGGATCCTTGCAGAGGCTTCTAGACCCACCGGCCTGTTTGTCTCTCTGTATAGTCACTTTCCCACACAGTATTTCAGACAGGACTGGAAGGGTGAATGTCCCCTGGTGCCTGGGGTCTGACTGAGCCACATCACGTGGGCAGCTTGGCCTGTGACTGGAGACACCTTTTGAGCTCCTCAGTCACAAATCCCAGGAGTGCCCGCCCAAGTCTGCCCTGGACTTGGCCACTCTTGCGGTGAACTAAATGAAACTCCTAGGACCAGGGGAAGAAGGCAGGTCCTCTTGGGATAGTACTGTTTTCTTATAGCAGCATTCTTCCTCCCATACTTGGTAAGAGACACGATGAAGTCTCTCTCATTCTGGAGTTCACAAGCACTACTGAATGAGTTACCATTTCCTGCCTCTCCCAAGGAGTGGCCTTCTGGTTCTCCTATAGTTCCTGGGGGAGATAATAGTTGTGACCCTACTTTACAGATGTGGAGACCTCCCTTGGTCAGTCACCCAGCAGATCCTCAACCCATTTTGGTTTCCGTTACTCCTGAGCAGCGCCCCCATAAGGACAGATGACCATTCTCCCTTTTCCCAGACTGATGTATCAAGTTGAGAACACTGGATCCCTTCGGATGATCTCTAGGGGTAAACTGGAAATGGGACCTAACTCTTAGGGGCAGCCTGGAGTATCCTGTGGGAGTATCCAGATGCTAATCTGTATATCCTACTAGCTCTTCTTCCACAGGGCTTGGCTCTAGGGTGGGGGACCTGGCTATCTGGTAGAGATCTTTTTCCTGATCCAGAATCTGTTAGGAGGTGACCTTGGAGGTCTCTAGCCCTAGGACAGTGTATTCCTGCTTATGTGTGTGAAAGTGGGTCATGGTCTGGATTCTGCAGAATGTTTTTCCTGGCGGGCCCCTGCGGGGGTGGGGGAGGCAGGGGCCCAGGCAGGGGCATGCAGGCAGAGGCTGCAGACTGGCTGGTGACAGTGTTGGGGCAATCTGCCAATGCCTCCCAGTTAGGGGACTCTACAGGAGAAGGACCACCCTGATTTGACTTTTCTTGGGATTTTTATGTTGGTGTTATGTGACACCCCCTCAACAGTAAGGGTTCTGAAAGTTACTGTGGGTGGGGGTGCAGGCAGTGGCTTTAGGGTGGGCCCAGGTGGGGGTGGGGCCAATCTCAGACTGACCTACCCTCTGCTTCAAGACTTACAGCTGGCTTTCTTCCCAAAGAGTCTTTCCTGAGTCGCCTTGCTAACATTCCCTGTTAGATTTTTTTCCCCCTTTGGGTTTTCTTGATAGGAAAAATGTCCCATTAGAGGGCGATTGCCCCCAGAAATAGCCCTGGTGTCTGGTTGAAGTGTGCTGGGGTGTAGGGGTGGAGTCCCAGCAACTGAACTTCCTTTCATCTGGCCCCTCCCCCAAGTGTGTCTGTAGCTCTTAGTTTGGGAAACATGTTCTGAAAATCATCACTTTAGGGGAGTTCTTTGACAGATGGCTGGGAGTCCGCCCCACCGTTCACTCAGGCACTTTCTGAGGTCTGTCTCCCTGGCCCCTCCTGGCCACTGCTACCTCCTTTGGGGGTCAGGAGTGTCTCCGTTGACTGCTGAAACAGGCAGCTACAAGCAGCCAGATGCCCAGTCAGCCTCGATTCTGGGAGGGAGTCACTTCACGTGGGTTCTCCCCCGGGTTAATCTTGATGGCTCTGTTTTAGAACCCTGGGTTTCCTGGGGTTGCTCCTCTGTCCTGTGTACCCATGTTGGAGCTCAGGTTGGGCTGTGTGAATGCCTCCAGTGTCCAGCACCTGCATAGAAGCAGGAGGGGCCAGGTGCTTTGCTGGGCATAGGTGGTTTCTCATGAATCTCTAACAGTCCCGGGAGGATAGGCGTTATTGTATGCAGTGCGTAGACAGGAAGTAGAATCAGGTGCACTGCCGACTGGGTGAGGCCAAGGTCATCCAGCTCTCTGGGTGGGGTTGTGATGGGGACACACCTGGAGTCTAGCTACAGGTCTTTAAAACAAAGCTCTTTTCTGCCTCTGCTGGGTGTCTCCAACCCTTATCCAGGTGGAAGTGGGAGAGGTGGGATTGGACAGGCTATGGGTGTGGCTGGGGCACCTACCAACTCCTCCAATGGGGTTCTTTGAGAAGTGAGAGCTGAGTGAGCCTGAGCATCGTGGAGGGCAGCTCAAGGGGTCAGCCGACTAGAGGGAGGATAGGTAGGTGTGCCTTAGTCTGGGCCTTTGTGCCACTGGCTGGGCTCTCTTCTGCAGGCTTGGTGGCAGAGGACCTGCTCCTTCCTAATGTGCTGCTTAGCAACGGAGTGCCGCTTTGCATAATCAATGAGGCCCATCCAATTCTGGGCTGGAATGGTCTGGGGAAGTGGAGGCGGCCTTTCTGGGGGCTGCTACCTTCTTCATGACTGGGTTTTCCCCCCCTTTATGCTCTTAGATCTGATCTACTCTCTGTCCAGTCAGCTGAATAATTGCCTGGAGGGACATGAGGAGGGGAAGGGAGTGTCATTGGTTGCCAGAGCCTGTGACCTGAAATGCCCCTGTTCACCAGGTGGTGGGGTTTTTATTTTTTTGTTTTTTTAAGACAGGGTTTCTCAGCCAGACCGGGTGGCTCACACCTTTAGAGGCAGAGGCAGGAGGATCTCTGTGAGTTTGAGACCAACCTGGTCTACAAGAGCTAGTTCCAGGATAGCCTCTAAAGTGACAGAGAAACCCTGCCTAGAAAAACCAAAAAAAAAAAAAAAAAAAAAAAAAAGAAAGAAAGAAAGAAAGAAAAAAAGAAAAAAAAAGACATTGTTTCAGGGTTTCTCTGTGTATCTCTGGCTATCCTGGAACTCACTCTAGAACAGGCTGGCCTGGGATTTAGAGATCCACTTGTCTCTGCCTCCTGAGTGCTGGGATTAAAGTCATGGGCTGACACCACTACCCAGGTTCCCTAGATGTTCTTACAACCTTGGGCATGGGACCTACGTGGAAAACTTGCATGCCCATACCTGGGACGTTCTAGGTGGAAAACTTGCATGCCCATACCTAGGGAAGTTCTGTTTTCTAATCATGTCTTCCCTCTGACCCCACCCAGTTCTGGCATAAAGCATGCTTTCACTGTGAGACCTGCAAGATGACCCTGAACATGAAGAACTACAAGGGCTATGAGAAGAAGCCCTACTGCAATGCGTGAGTGGGGGCGTGGTGGGGGGGTGGTGGCGATAGTGGGGTGGGATGGGATTTTCAGGGCACCTGGCTTCCCTCCCAAGTTTTTTCCTCTCTGTTAGCCAGAGGTGACATTGTAGCACACCCAACTTGGTAGATTGTGATCACATTGTCCCTTCATAGCAGAGTGCTCTTGCTGTCCCCATTTTACAGATGAGAAAGCAGGCTTGAGGAAGGAGTAGGGGACTTTCTCAGGTTTGAATGGCTGATGTGAGGCTGGCTCATAGACAGCCTCTGGATAGTAAGTAGCCGGTGGGCTACTTCCTCTGCACCCTGTTGTGCGCTCTTGCACATGCACAGCAGGGATAAAGAGACCTGTCCTGTGCCTGCTGCATGGCATCCAGACTTGGGAGTGTGATTCTCCCCTTGACTTTCTCTCACTTGGTGGTTCTTTTCTCCATTGCTCCTTCTAGAACATTCCAGAGACCTCTCTCTCTCTCTCTCTCTTTCTCTCTCTCTCTTTCTCTCTCTCTCTTTCTCTCTCTCTCTTTCTCTCTCTTTCTCTCTCTTTCTCTCTCTCTCTCTCTCTCTCATACACACAAAGACTTGTTCATTTATTTTATTATGTATATGAATGTTTTACCTACATATATGTATGAATACCACTTGTGTGCCTGGTATCCATGGAGACGAGACAAGGGCATCAGATCCCCTGGAACTGGAGTTATAAGTGGTTGTGAGCCTATGTATGGGTACTGCAAACTGAACCCAGGTCCTCTGGAAAAGCAGCCAGTGCTCTTAGCCACTGAGCCATCTCTTCAGCCCCCTTTTCATATATGGAGAAGGAGAAAGGTGTGGCCTGGCATAGGCAGCTCCTTTTCTGCCTTGCAGGGAGACCCGTGACACTGCCCATTGTTCTGAGAGTTGCTAGCTTGAGTTCTGTTCCTTGTACAGAATCTTGTGTTGTGGCCAGATAGATGCAGGGCTTGGGGAGAGAGACCATTGTCTCCCACCCTAGAGCAATACCACCCTGGAGGTGAGTGTCCTGCAGTTTCAGAGAGGGTTGACACTGCAGGGGACTCATGGTAGCAAGTGCAACCTCAGCATTGGGTCCAGAGCAAGTGCAGCCGCTGACCTCAGGCTGTTTGCAAGGTGGTCAAGTTCCTCAAAGGTAGGTGACAGGATCAGTAATCAGTTACGTTTATGATCTGACTTAAATCTAGGTATCTTTAGCTAGGCATTGGTGGCATACACCTTTAATCCCAGCATTTGGGAGGCAGAGGCAGGAGGATCTCTGTGAGTTCAAGGCCAGCCTGGGATAGGAGACAAACAAGCACAGATACCTAAGCTTGTTTTTTTTTTTTTTTTTGTTTTGGAGACAGGGTTTCTCAAAAACCCTCAGGTTAGGGTTAGGAGTTAGGGCTTAGGGTTAGGATTAGGGAAGCCAGGTTAGCAAGTTCCAGGACAGCCTCCAAAACAATACAGAGAAACCCTGTCTCAAAAAAAAAAAAAAAAGCCTAGGTATCTTTGCTTGTTTTGTCTCCTTCCTATCCCTGGCTGGTATAGCCAAGGATACATAACCTTAAACTTCCGATCTTCTTGCCTTCTCCTCCAGATGTGTGGGTTTATTTATAAACATGTTTCGACATGACCAGCTGGTCTCCTAATTTAAATCTTCTTAGCCAAAGTTTACTAGAAGGGAACCTGGAGACTTGTCTCTTTAAGGGCAGGCCCCCAACTCCTTGGGGGTTTGAACATTCGCCAGATACTTGTTACCAGCCCTCTACTGTATGCCAACCTATCTCAGGTGCTGGGAACCTGATTTCTGATAAGATCTCAAGCCCAAGAGGCAGCATGACCATGTTCCTTCTAGAGGGCCAGCCCATGGTGGCTTTGAGTAGAGGAAGGCCCACAGCTTTTTTGGCCCCTTCTTTCTATGGCTCCTTGGCCTACCCAGCCCCCCAGCCCTCCCAGCCCCAAGGGAAATGGGACATTCTTTGAATTCTTAAGGGCTCACACAAACCCTGATTCTCTGCCACTTCCTCCCTCCTTTGGGGAGTGGGGTGGGGTTCAGAAAAACCGGGGCACTTAACCCTTTGGGTCCTAGACTGCTTCAGGCTGGCCTGCTAGCCTCCTTTGGGGCATCTTCTGGGTGGGCCTCCACTTCCTGGCAGAAGTCTGGCAGAGCACCAGGGAGACCAGGGTGATGATAACTTTCTTCTTCTCTGGCCAGCTTACCTGCTACCCAGTGAGTGCTGGAATTCAGAGAGAAAATGTTTTTTATCAGAATGCCCTTAACCCCGGTGCCAGAGTTTTGGTTTAGTCTTTTTGGGGGAAGACAGGCAGCAAATGGGAGAGGGGAGAGCCTGAAGTCTTTGGGGTTCTGGGAGAAGCAGGTGATGAAATCTTCCCTGCTTGGGGAGTCGCCAGTTCTATCCCTTTCCTGACATTCGGCTAGGGGAGCAGGTTGATGTTGCCCCTAACTTCAGCTCTATATGGGTTACTTTTGACCTCTGGCCCAGTGGGTGTTTGCTGGGAAGGACCTGCACTGGGTTGTGTGTGTTGGCATACGTGTGTGTGTGTGTGTGTGTGTGTGTGTGTGTGTGTGTGTGTGTGTGTCTCAGCTGCGCTTCATTTCATTCCAGCTGCATCAGCCTCTTGGCTGCTGCTCCCTGCTGGCTTTGTGTCTGGAGAGTTGTCTGCTGAGCCTTGTCCCTAGCCAAACTCGGATAGGTGGTCTCTGCACCTGCTTGGTTTTCCCCTGCCCTAGACAAGAATTCCTGCTGTGTGTTAGGCCCTGTGTCAAATGGCCACTTTATTCTCTCCCATTTCCAGCTGTCTCTGAGCCTATTTTTCAGTGACATTCAGGTTCATGGGGCTTCTGGGGAGTGGTTCCCTCCTGCACTCTAGGCTCCTTCCAGTCCTGGTTGTACTTGTGGACCACAGGCTAGACCTTCAGGGTGCTGTTCCCCTCCACTGGGCTAAACCCAACTAGGGTGAGACACATAGGGCCAGGTGACATCTCCTGGCACTTTTCCAGGGCTCTAGGCCACCCAGGGAGTGTGGGGTGAGTCTGGTGTTCAGGGAATTTCTGTGTGCTGGCTTTTCCTGGCTAGTGTCTGATCTTGGGCGCAGCTTAGGCTCTTGTGGATGAAGAAATGAGGGAAGAAGGCCGAGTGTCCCTTCTGTCTTTGCAAAGTTCTAGAAAGTGACTGAACAGTGAAAAGGGCTTCTGTTTCTCCCCCTCGAAATGGCGTGTTTGAGGAGGAGGCAGGGGCATGAATATAGGCTAGCTCTGGAAGCCAGCCTGCCTGGTGCGGTGAGCTACAGGCATGCAATTACACACTGTCCTGGAGTGGCCTTATACCCTCCCCTGGGCATCCACTGGGCTCCCACTGAGATTCCTGCGGATTCATTATGGTCAGCTCTTCACTGGGGGGTGGGGGGGGCACGCCTGCCTGTGCAGCAGCAGCCCAAGCTCGTCTGCTTTGTTAGCTGGAGAAATATTTATGCCCTGGATTATTTGTTTTGTAAATTGGGTCATCATCATCAGAATCCTGCAAACCTGTTTCTCTGGGTCCATGCAAACAGAGTGGAGGTCAGGGCTGGAGTTGGGGTGATGATGGGGACTTGGAAACCTGCAGACAGGAGGCCTGCTGTAGGCTAGAGGAACCTTCTGGGGAAGGAAGAGAGACCTCAGTAGAACTTTTCACATCAGAGTGACAGCAGACATCTGGGTTCCTGATTCAGTTTTCCTGTGAGGCTGAGTTGAGAAGACTGGAGATATCCTTCCTGCTGGGGACTAAACTGGGAGTCGGGTCCAGTCAGTCTATTCTAGCAACCTGATCCCATTCCCAGTGTTTGTGAAACAATCTCAGGTAGCCCAGGCTGGCCTTAAGCCAAGGATGACCTTGAATTTAAGAAAGTTTGCATATGTGTGAAGGGGAGAGAGGTGTGTATGTGGGCTGGCGATCACATACCAATGCATTCATGTAGAGGTCGATGGGTGGCTTTCACGAGTGGGTTCTCTCTTTCCACTGTGGGTTCCGGAAGTTTGAACTCACATGTCAGGCTTATAGAGCTGAGCTATCTTGCTTCTTTGCCTGACCTTGGACTTCTGATCCTCCCGCCTCCATCTCCAAGTGCTGACATGACAGGTGTGCACCAGCGTGCCTGGTTTATTCATGACCAATGTATGCATGCTACCTAGGCCGGATTCTATACCCCAGCTACCTCTAGCTACAGGTTGGTTTGTTTTGAGATAGGTCTTGCTATGTATGTATCTGGTTGGCCTTGCCACAGTCCTGGGGTGGGGGCATTTGCCTACTTCCCCCACATTCTCTGCTTCTTACTGGGAAAATTGAATCAAATGTGTTAAGGAGCTGGGAGCAACTGGTGTGTGTGTGTGTGTGTGTGTGTGTGTGTGTGTGTGTGTGTGTGTGGTGTGGTGTGGTGTGGTGTGGTGTGGTGTGGTACAGTGTGGTGTGGTACATTTGGGGTGAAGGAGGCCAGCAAAAACTGGAAGCCAGAGTGTCAAATGCAGCCATCAAGTACCTCACCTGCCTCCTTCACCCCCATAGCCTACATGTAGATATGTCAGGGCCCCAAGGAGCTTGGGGTCACTTTCTCTCCCAAAGTCCCATTTGTATTGATAAGGAATTTGAGGCCTAATATTTTCCTGCCTTACTTAGCTGGGCAAAATTTTTCAAAATATTGCCAACACAGGGGGAAAGTGGACATTATTTAAAGTTGTTAGTGAATGGAAACAAAACAAAAGAATTTAAAGGATGCAGCTTTTCATTTTTGCCTACAAAGCCTAAAGGCTGGTTAAGTTCTTTCTCCAGTCTACCCCTAATCTTTTAGGTTGCTCATTTTTGACCCTCTGGTCAAACAATGCCTCCTTGTTTTCTTCCTATCCCTAATACTTTAGTCCTGGAGGCCTGGAGGGGGCTGGTAAGAATCAGGACTAATGGAGTCTGCCCTGGTTCCTCCCTCCCTCCCTCCCTCCCTCCCTCCCTCCCTCCCTCCCTCCCTCCCTCCCTCCCTCCCTCCCTCCCTCCCTCTCCCTCTCCCTCTCCCTTCTCTCTCTCTCTCTCTGCCTGCTTATGGGCAGTGTTCCCAGCTGGGGCTTTGGGGATCCAGTGCTCTAGCTCTAACAGGAGGCCAAATGTTAGGGCTTTTTTTCTCTCCTTCGTTTTGCTAAAAACCAAAAGTTCCCTGCATTTTGCTGATGTATTTTTACTCCGCTTTGAACACAGAGCTTTGTTTTTCTTATAGAGGTCCCAGTCTGGAAGGAATGATGTTCCTTGCAAAAATGGGGAGCTGGGCTTTCAGAGTCTGGTCCGCCCTTTTTCAGCCTCTGGATACAAGCCCTGCTCACATGGTCCCCTGCTCACATGGTCCCCTAACTCCCTGCCATCTAGGATTGGCCTCACAGTGTCTTCCTGCCATGAAACAGTGTGGCTTGGGTCCTCAGGTGTGTAGCTCATTGCCTGAGATGGAGGCCACATCTCCTGATGCCTTAGGTCATTGTCCTCTCAGGGGTTTCAGAGGCCAGGCAGGGAAATGGGCTTGAAGGATGAGACACTTTGGCCGTCACCTGCCAATTGTGCTTTTCACAGAACTCTGGGAGCTGCAGCTGGACTAGGGCCATCTGCCCTAACAGGTCTTCATGCCCTCAGCTGGCCAGGCAGATGTGGGGCAGAGGACAATATGCTAATCAAAGTCTCTATCCTTGACTCCAAGCCTCAGTTTCTCGGTATCCAGGGGATGCCCGCCTTTTCCAGCCTTGCCGGGTATTCGGGGAGAGGCACTTGACAGTCTGAAGGAGTTGTGAGCTGTGAGTCTGTGGTGTCTGTGTTGTCTCCCTCCCCGCAGCAGCTGCCTAGCTCCCTGCCTACCTTCTGGCTACCACAGGCTTTTCCTGTTGTCACCTTCCTAGATGCCAGGTAGCTTCCTTGTCCCTCCCCACCCAGCCTCCTGTCCTGTTGACTGTCTAGGCCTCCGCCCTCACCCCCCTGCTCCCTGCTGGAGATATCACAGGCAAAGACAAGTCTGTGGAGAGACGTCTATCGAAGGCACTGAGAAGATTAGTTAGCGGCTAGTCCGGGAAGGGACAAAGAGCAGTCATACTCTGTGACCTCACCTCTACCTCTGTACCTTTATACCATCTCTCATTTTGTTTCTGTGGTAACCCCAAGATCTGGCTGGGGTGGGTGGTCTTGTGGTCTTAGCTGTTTCAGAGTCCATACTGGTGTGCTTCTGCCCCACCCCCACCCCGCCCCCTGAGTCTGAAGGTGAAAGGTGGCTTCAACCTGGGGTCTAAGAGGGAGGAGAAAAGCAGATGGTTTCTGGATGATCGCTCGGAGTCCTCTTCAGGGACCACTGTGTTGGGGGAGGGGTGTGGCACTGGGACTCTGGTGTCCTGCCTTCTAGAAACAAACCTGAGCACAGCTGTCTACAGGAAACCAGCCCAGGCCCCTTGGGCATCGTCTTGGTTAAGGGTGCTCCTGCAGTCTGTCTTCCCCTGCCCCCATACCCATAGACCTCTCCCTCCTTCCTCTCTCCCTTTCTCTGCTCTCCTGCCTGGAGCTGAGGATGAGGTTGCCATGGGAACCTGAAGCACATCAGCTAGCAGGAGAAGGGAAAGGCAGGGTTGTCTCACCCAGGGTTGGGGGCTGTGGGGAGGGGACTGGGCTGACCCATCAGGAGGAATGCAGTCCTTGTGGAGACCTTCCTCTGCCTGAGGTTGGGTGTAGCAGCCCTCCATAGTGTCTGGAGCTGCTTAATCTACTAGAACTGATACAGGAGTAAATTCCTTCCCCATCCCTAGCCCTCTGGAGTCCACATCTAGGCTCCCTCCCCTATTAGTATCCCTTCTCTAGGGGGTGGAGAAGATCTTGATGGCTACAGAGAGATGATGAAGTCCCCCAGTCCCGCCTGAAGTTGGCATTTGGTACATGCTGGAGGGGCTCCTGGGATCTTCTGATGGGATATAGGGTGGGTCGAGGGGGTATGTGAATGTGGAGGGTTCACAGCTGCCAGCTCCGTGTTGAGAAATGCTTGCCAATTTGGAGGACACGCCTATATGTTAGTCACGTGCAGGCAGATGCTGTGTGTATACTACAGGAGCTGCAGAACTAGAGAGAGGGTGTGGCTGTCTGCACGTGTCTGGCTATCTCTGGGCCAATGGAGGTGGCTTTGTGCTTTAAGTCTGTACACACGGCCAAATGAGAACAATCCCCGGGGTTTGTGGATGCTTCTGTGGCTGTGTGCTTGTTCAGTCCCTGCCTTCTGCTCTCCAGGCTGCCTCCACCCTGTCTAACATACTGCTAGCCGGTTATCACACTTGACCCTCCACACCTGGCCACAGCTGCCTGGACCCTGTGCCCCCTACTTCTGCTGTGTGCATGTGTACTGACGGATGCCCGGCTCACCCTGGTTTGTGTCCCACTTCCATTCAGAGTGGGCCCAGTTTGTGTGGAGTGCCCTTTCTGACGCCTATCTCCCCGCGTCTCAGGACGACCAGCCAGTTCTCCTAGACATCTCACTTCATTCCTTCTGTTCATTTCTTGTCTCTAGGAGCAGAGTCCTGCTTGATCCTCCCCAGTCCCGAACAGGAGCAGGAATTGTTGGATGGGCTCCTGAGCTGTGGGTGGCCTGGCTGCAGGGCACTGGGCCAGACCTGGGGGTGGGACCTTGCCTTTGCCTGCCTTCATCCAAGCCATCCCTGCTGCCAGCTGCAGGCGCCTGTGTTTGCTTTGCCCACCTAGCTCACCGCTTTTGCCAGGGGAGCTCTTTATGTGGCAACTGGGATGGCCAGGACCCACATAGGCATCTCCTAGGGCTAAGACAGTGACATCAGCAAGGGGGTGAAGATGGTCACCTGAAAACAGAGCCTGTCACTCTGTCCCTTCTAGTCACATCTTTGGTTGTCTGTCCTCTCTACCCAAGGTAGCTCAGAGGGCCATCATATGTTGGTACAGCTACTGGAGGATATGCTGGCTTTGACCAAAGCATACAAGCACGAGGCAGTTCACCACCTGCTGTGAACATGCTGACCAGCCGGGGTGGGTCAGACCTAGAAAAAGGCCTAATGGGCCATCTGTCTTTCTTTCTTGGTGTTTGGCTGCCTGTGAGTCAGGGAGTCTGCACTGGTCACAGCGGTGATGGGTGCAGTCACCCAGAGCTAAACACAGCCAAGTCAGACTTTTCAATACAGTTCTTGCTTGGAGAAGTCATTCACTGTCCCTGAGATGGGTGAGGTTCATGTGAACACTACCTATTTCACATTCCAGCACTAGACCCAGACCATGGCTGGTTTACCTGAGGCGACACGTGACACGAGGAGGCTGTGGAAGAGTTCTCCTGTTTTAGCCCAACTTCAACACCTAGTGTGGTGTTTGTTTATTCAAGTATCTGCTGTGCTTCAACCGCTGTTCTGGAAGCTTGAATAAATCAATAGACAAGTGATCAAAAAGCAACTGTTTTCTCCCCTCGTGGGGAAGAGAGTGGCGACGTGTTGAATACATGAACTCAGCGACTGCCGAGTGACATGCTAGTACCAGCACACTGCTTACCTCTGTCAATAAGGACATTATCCTGCAAGTCCTTACAGGCAAGGTTCTGGACCACCTAAGGCAGCGGTTTCCTAGGGGTCAGAATTCTGACTTGATTCTGTGTGTTTAGACTATACTGTCCAACCTCTCTAACCTCTGCTCTGTCAAAGGAAGACAGTAGCAACACTGCAAAAGGTAACAAGCTTGATAAACTAAGTCACAGGACAACACTAACTGCTGTTACCTGTCACCGGAAGGTGACTAGCCACAAGCAGATAGCCCACCTACCATGTACTTGGACCTTGTCAGCCCCTTGAAACACTTTGTTGGACACATATTTCTCTCTCTCTCTCTCTCTCTCTCTCTCTCTCTCTCTCTCTCTCTCTCTCTCTCTCTCTCTCTCTCTCTCTCTTTTCTGGTTTTCTTTCCTTTTTTTCTTTCTTCGAAACAGGGTTTCTCTGTGGCTTTGGAGGCTGTCCTGGAACTAACTCTTGTAGACCAGGCTGGCCTCGAACTCACAGAGATCGGCCTGCCTCTGCCTCCTGAGTTCTGGGATTAAAGGCGTGCGCCACCAGCTCCTGACTCACATATTCTCTTAGCATACCTGTTTATGACTCTTGACAGGGAACCTTCTGGGTATCTGGTATTTATCTTTCCTTCAGCCTTGGGTCCTTCAAGCTTCTGTGTGCTTGCTAGTCTCAGTTCTGATTTTGTGCCCATCTGCACAGCTGACTAGGTCCTCCTGGGGGGCCTGATCCTGGGATCCTCTATGGGGAGACTCCAAGGCTTAGATTACCTGAAACAAGAGTAATCAGAAACCCTCAGAAGCCTTCCTGTGGCCCTGGACAGTTCTGTCTGCCAGACAGTCACTCAGGCCTGCTGTGTCTTGACTCCTCAGCTGTCCTAGGCTGTGCCTGGGGGAGTTCCTGAGTCCCTTCAGCACTGACAAGTGGGCAGGGACTGTCCAGTGGTAGAGAGGCCCAGGGTTCCCCACCCTTCCCCAGAGTGATGCCTGATTCACCCTTCCCCAGAATGATGCCTGATCTTCTTTCTGTCCGGCAGACACTACCCCAAGCAGTCCTTCACCATGGTTGCTGACACTCCGGAAAACCTCCGCCTCAAGCAACAGAGTGAGCTGCAGAGTCAGGTGAGGGGCGGGCACTCTGTGGCTGGTGGAAGGGGAAGGCCCGTGTAGTGGATTGGGCAAGGGCATCTGCGGTCTCTGAGGCTTGAGATGCTGAAATCCCAGGCTGCCTGTCTCCCCACCCCCACCTTTCCTCAGTTACCTCACACTTCCTGACCTGGTGGGGGGGTGGGGGAGATACTGCCTTCCTACCTGAAGTTGGTTGGAGAGGTGTGGGCATCTGTTTGCCTCTGCTGGGGCTCTGAGAGCCTGCCTTCTCCAGGAAGCTGTCCCCTGCCTGCCACTCCATTCCCACCTGGCACAGAAGGACTAGAAGCCAACCATAGGCTTGCCAGTCTGTGTCTCACAGCCTGCCCTCTGTAACTATGTCCTGAAACCTTTTGCTCCCCGTGGATAGGGGCCCGTGCTCCGCCATGCTCCCGTCTCTTTAGCCTGACTCTCCTGGGTGACACAGGCTCCTACAGTAGAGGAGGCGACATTGTCTGCCCTGGCTCAGAAAACTGTCCTTCAGGGATACTGAGCTACAATGAGCTAGGTGGTCTGGAGCCCTGAGACCTTATTAACGAGCTCTGCCTTGAACCAGCCTGGCCTGGCTCAGCACGGATTAAAAGATTAAATGAGAGAATACAAGTAGGGGAATTTACCGGGTTGGCACGGTGCCCAAGGTGGTGCCTCAAGGACTCCTCATCCATGAGAAGTGAGGCGTCCTTGCTGGACTGTTTCGGGTGGTTTTGTTGTTGTTTGTTCTGGTTGTTGTTGTTTTGAGATGATAATGTCACGTAGCCCTTCTAAAAAAAATTGCCCTGGGGACTGGAAAGACAGCTCAGAATCTACATCATTACAACCTTTATAATTCCGGCTCTCGGGATCTGAAGCCTCTGGCCTCCACAGGCATCTGCATTCACCTGCATAAAGCCACCCGGGGACACATACACCTACATGTAATTGAGTGTTTAAAAAAAAAATTCTTAGCCAGGCAGTGGTGGCACACTCCTTTAGTCGCAGAGGCAGGTGGATCTCGGTGAGTTCCAGGACAGCCAGGGTTACACAGAGAAACTCTATCTTGAAAAAAAAAAGCAAAAACTAACAAAAATATCTTAGGAGGGGGCTGGAGAGATGGCTCAGTGGTTAAGACCACTGACTGCTCTTCCAGATGGACCCAGGGTTCAATTCCCAGAACCCACATGGCAGCTCACAGCTGTCTGTAACTCCAGTTCCAGGGGACCTGACACCCATGGCAAAACACCAATGTACATAAAAATAAATAAATTTAAAAAAATCTTAGGAATAAAAAAAGAATGACATTGAACTCATCCTCCTGTCTCTATCTCCCAGGGTGCTCCACGCCTAGCAACTTTACCGTTATCTGTCTGTCTGTCTGTCTATCTACTACCTGAAGGGAACAGTCTTTACCGTCTTAAGAAACACAAAATACTCCAGTAGTGGTGGTGGCAGCGGCAGCAGCGGCACACGCCTTTAGTCCCAGCATTCAGGAGACAGAGACAGGTGGATCTATCTCTGTGAGTTCAAGGCTACAGAGCTACAGAGATACACTGTTTTGAAAAACCTAAAAAAGGAAAATAAAACAAACACCCTACACAAAATAGTCCCGACTGCTGCTGAGAACTTGTGAAACCTAACAAGTGATGTAGTTAACTTCTCCTTTCTTGTCCTTGATGCAACTCCAGGGGTAGCCGGAAAATAGCTCCTTCCTGTCCCTGCGTGGAAAGTGTCTTAGAGTTCCAGGCCACGTTGAACCAGGTTGTAGGATCTGAGCTCTGGCCTTTATACTCACTCGCACAAGTGTGGTGCCTTGCGCATGTGTAGCCTTCCAGTGTGTTCCACAGTGCAGGCAGCTGCTTGTCCTTTAGCCTTCCCAGGAGAAGCGGCAGAGCTTAGACTCCTGCTGCCTCCAGCAGGCCAGGCAAGGAGAGCCGGCAGAGGCCAGCTTTTTTCCTTTCTATATCCCACTCAAAGAAGAAATTCAATACCCTTGCCCTTTCCAGCCCATGAGAACTCACCCTCAGCTCCTTTTGCTTCTGGAATCTGACCCCTATGGGGTGGGGCTGATATCAGGAACCAGCCGGCGCTGCCCTTTGTTCATGAGCACATGAGGCCTGGGGTTGCTGTTGGGAGGGCTGTTCTGCTCCCCACACACAGATTTCAGGTTCCTAGACTAGCGGGGGCTCCAGTAGGTGGGGTAAGTAGGAACAGTCATCATTCTTTTAAGTTCTTAGTTAGGGACAGGCCCTGCACATATGTCTGTCTGTGTCCATCAGTCTTCACAGCCATGTTGTCAAAAAGGGAAGGGCCCCTCTTGGGGGTCTCCCTCTCCGGTTGTTGTTGGGTTTTGTTTTGTTTTTTCTTCGAGCCAGGGTCTAACTATCCTTGACTGGTCTGGAATTCCCTATGTAGTTCAGACTGGAATTCTCCTGCCTCAGCCTCCTGGGTGCTGAGATTTTAGATGTGAGCTGCTGCTCCTAAGAAGGGATTCTTCCAATTATGCAGGAGGGGGTCCCTGAGCTTCGGGGAGGCCGAGCTGATATGATACATCTTTAATATCTAGCCACGCCTCTGTCTGCCTACTGGGGAATCTCACTCCTAGTCTCTCAACACCACTTGCCCAGGGCTCCAAGGCAGGCAGACTTCGAGCTCAGCTGGTTGGGCCTCAGAGTGTACGCCCCAAACTGTTCTACACCAGCTTACAGACAGTTAACCTAGGCTGGCCTCAAACCCCGTTAATCTTTCAGACTGAGCCTCCTAAGGGTTGGGATTAGTGGTTATGTGCTCTGGAGGCTTGCTCTGCTGGGCTGCTGAGTAGGTGGGAGCCACGTAGAGCTTTGGGGTGCTACCAGGCTGGAGGATCCGTGCCAGACAACAGGGTGGGGGTTGACCTTCTGCACTGGGGACACAGCTCCATTCCTGGACCTGGGGACCTGGGGGATGATGCGGAAAGAGCCTGCTCCCCTTTGCAGTGTCTCCCACGTCCTACCATCTGTGCGGTCTGAGGCTTCCCCCCACTTCGTAGTTTTTTTTTTTCCTCCTCTGTAAGGAGTGAAATGGGGACGACAGAGACCCATTTGCTTAGAAGCTGGGGGCAGGGCCTGGTGTGAGGCTTGGAAGGACAGGCCTGCATGGCTGGCCTGGTCATAGGTCTGTGGCTGCTGTGGGGGAAGGGCTGGTTAGAGCTTTGTGTGGCTGGCAGAAAAGTGGGAGCCTCAGCCCCTTTTGTGCCCCACCCCAGCAGGGTGTCATGGGCTCCTTCCAGGGCTGGCTCCTTCCTAGCCTGGCTTCATGCATGGGTTCTTTTTCCTTTGGGAAGTCGCCTGGGCAATTTCGGCTTTGTTTTCCCACTGCTATATTGGTTCCCAACTGCAGAACTGCCCAGAAACGGCACTCTGGGTGGTGTTGTCAAAGCCGGCAGCTGCCCCCAGACCCCTCTTCTCACTTGCACCCCACCAAATGGAGGCAGCAGCTTTGGGATGGGGCTGAGGAGAGCTGTGACAGTAGTCCAGGCCCTCTCCCAGGCTGAAGTGCTGGGAGTGTCTGTTTTTTCTTCCTTGTCACCTTCATAGAGTGTTTCAGGAAATGCCCTTGAGGCGAGGGAAGGGTTCTTCCTCCTGTCTTGGATCCTGAGACCAGCAGCACACACTGAAGAGTGTCACAGTATGGTAGCACCTATCTGTAGCCCTGAACAAAAAAGTGCCAGTGGTAAGTTCTTGTCCCCTCAGGAGAAAAATGCCAGAGTAGTTCCAGTGGGGAGGCACAGACCAGACCAGAAGAGCTATGCCCTGATTGGTGAGCTTCAGGCCTATGAAAAGCCCCGTCTCTAAGGAGGAGGATGTATCCCTGAGGAAGCATCTGAAGTTGTGCTTGGCGCACGCACGCATGCACACACGCACGCACGCACGCATGCACACACTTGAACATGCATACATGCACATGTCTTTTAAAAATGCTCTGTTAATACTCTGAGACAGACCTGGTGCTCACACTCAGGACTGGCCAGCCTAGGCGATATACTGAGACCTTACCTCATTTTTACCAGAGCCAGCAGCCTAAGGTTGAATCTTGGATTACTACCACTAGCTGTGGCTTGGGACTAGTTACTTAACCACTCTGCCACTGGGCCTCCGTGTGTAAAGTGGGGATCATCTCCCCCCGGGCTTGGCTGTGGGGATGTTAGTATGTGTTAGGTGTTTGCCATTGTTGGCGTGGTGCCAGGGCTTGATAAGTGTTTCCTTTTGCTGTTCTCTGTGAAGGGAGAGGAAATGGATGGAATGACTGTGACCCCCCCCCCCCCACTCCCAGATCCAATCTTTCAGCAGCTGTCTTCACATTTGTGGGTCTGATGTAAAATCCAGTCAGAAGGGAATGGGTTACATAGTGTGGGCCCAACACCAAAATGAGGTCATTGCATTACAATAAGTAGGAATGGCTGGCGGAGTGTTTGTTTCTGTTTTTTGAGATAGTCTCACAACATACCCCCGCTGTCCTAGGACTTGCCCAAGACTCCTTGTAACTCACAGAGAGCTACTTGCCTCTGCCTGAGATAACTCCCCCCCCCCCCTTTTTTTTTTGAGAGATAGACAGTGTCTTGCTATGTAACACAGGTTGGCCTACAAACTTTCAATCCTGCCCAAACCTTACTAGGATTACAGTGTGCTACCAGGCCTGCTTCATATGCTGAACCGTGACAGATGATGTATCTGTATTCAATTCATTTCTTATTTATCCAGCAAACATTGGTATGTACTAGTTTTCAACTGGGATAAATGAGAGGGTAGCTAAACCTACCTAAGAAAGGTAGATCTTCATGGATACCAGCTGTCTGGGTGTCATGCCCTGTGCTGTTGTGGGAATTTCCAGAGAGGGAGGTCCTGGCAGCATAGAGCGGGGATGGAGTCATCTGGCCAAAGTTCAGGCTCTATTGTAGCCAAACTGACAACTGGGTTGAGTGACCTGGCAGGCTCTGTCCCCACCGCTATCCTGTCATAGCTGGTGAGTCATCCAGAAAAATGCAACTACTTTTGCATGGGTGAAGGGACGGTCTCAGTGAAGGCCTAGTGGCTACTCCTGCTAGCAGTAAAAAGCTCTTGGAACTTTCCTCACCTCTATTCGGTTAAAGCCAAAGATGCTTAGATAGGGTCATAGACTCCGGATGAGGGGACCTTTAGAGAACTACCTAGCCGGTTTTCTTTCCTGGGCCCCATCCTCACGAGGAGACCTGGTGGGCTGGGGAGATGGCTCGGCAGTTAAGAGCACTGGCTGCTTTTCCAGAGGATCTGTGTTCAATTCTCAGCGCCCACATGGCAGCTCACAACCGTCTGTAACTCCAGTTCCTGGAGACATGATACCCATGGCATAAAACGAAAATAAATGAAAAAGAGGGGACCTGGCTTGACTTGGGACTTATAGGCACACTGTGTGGCACCCAGGCTTCCCTGCCTCCTCCTGTCCTACCTCCTCTGCCTCCCACGTTAGGGTAAAATGGATGATCCTTCCAGCGAGGAGGAAAGGCAGTTCCTAAGTCTGGGAACCAGTTGATGTCATTGCAGTGTTGCCATGGTAATTGTTCCCTGGATTAGGGGCCTGACCCTAGCAGAGCCAGGAAACGGCGGGAGCGGGGCTTGGCATTGGTTCAGCGCATTGGCGTTGACAAAGCACTTGCACAGTTGTCCTCACGTGGTGTGCGACACAGCACCCCCGCTTTAGCACTGGCGCCACCGTTGATTTCCCATTTTACAGATGTGGAACCTGGTCCAGGCCACTGGTCCACGATTGCACAGCAGGTTGGAGATTGAGTCCAAGCTCCTTCTGGTTCTGGGCCCATATTTAGTGACATGAAGTCTCCCATCTTTTACATGGAGAGAGAATCTGATCTCATTGTGTAAACTGGGCTGGTCACAAACTCATGATCTTCCTGCCTCTGCCTCCAGTCATGATATTACAGACATACATCACCGTGCCAGCTTGTATATGCACATTTTGAAACAGGGTCTCCTTATAGCTCAGGCTGGCTTCAAACTTACTTTGTTACAGCTACACACACACACACACCAGATTGTCCTTGAACTCTTACCTTCCTCTACTTTGTGAGCATAGTGATCATAGGCGTGTGTTACCATCCCTGGCTTTTCTCATGTTTTAACTAATGTCTGTGATGGCTCTTTTTACAGGAATCTGAGACGTGGTAGGACCCTTCTGGTTTTCTACAGTCTCAATTTTTCTTCTCTTTCTTGATGTCTCCTTTCTGAAGGACCTTCTAATAGTCATGTGCTGTTTTAGGCCTTCCTAGGAGGTTGGATGTTAGGCATCTGACATCCCTCTGGGTGGCCTGGGCCTAAACTTTCTCCTATAGCTTCTCAGGCATTTCTCACAAGCCTGTGTCAGCCCAGGTCCATACCCTTGTGTCACGCGAAATACCTGCATTCAAACTGTCAGCACTTTTTGGTCTTGCTATGTAGCTATAGCCTAATCTAGCCCTTTGAGTGCTGGATTATAGGCCTGAGCTACCAAACAGGTTTAGGCCTTTCTTTTTATCTGCATCAAGGGAGGAAGGATCCACCTAAATAGTGATCCTGACTGTGGAGGACCTGACAGATCACAAGCTGTGAGTCCTCAGTTTGGTAGTTCAATGTGTGACCAATGACTCCGGGCCTGGGAGCTGCCTGGCCTTCCTGGAAACTCCCAACATCCTGGCCTCTGTGTCCTGGGCTGACCCGTTTCAGGATAGTGCATCCACTGTAGAGGAAATCCAGGCAGCTGGTGAGGCCTGGAAGAGACTGAGGTAGAAAATGGACATCCGAAGCCAAGAAACAGTTCTCTACCCTGCAAATATTTCCCAGCCTCTGTTCTGTTTTCTAAAATCCCCAGGGAAGGACAAGCTGTTCTTCAGATTGCAGTTCCTTTAGTGTCGGGGAAGTCCTTTCTGTAGTGTATCCTGAGTGCCTCTAGTTTTCCATGGAGCTCTTGAGAGGGGCAGCAGTGGCGTGGTGGGGCTTTCCCTGGGGCTTGGACCCCTGTTCTGAGGTTCTGCCTGTGCGACCCTCTCCCTCTCCTGTAGGAATTGTCTCCATTGGCAGGCTCCAGGAAGCTGTTCTGGCTTGTCAAAGGCTCAGTGATGAGGTTACCGCTCTCCCGGACAGAGCCTTTGTCCTTTGGCACAGCCCCTGTTCAGCTGGTTGCTTAAAAACGCCCCCACACTCTAGGTGGGTCCTGCCACGCTCTGCTGAATCCTCAGATTTGGCAAGGGCTTCCTTACAGCTGTAGGCAGGAGTGCAGTGGTGGGAGTCTGGCATCCTGGCGCCTCAGGACATTTACTGCGAACCACGTGACCTCAAGCAGAAGGCATCTTTTTTTATTTGAAATAGAAAGAAAAAGTATTGGTGGACAGTGGTGGGGCACACCTTTAGTGCTAGCTCCCGGGGGGCAGAGGCAGGCAGATCTCTGTGAGTTTGAGGACAGCCAGGGCTCAGAGAAACCCTGTTTCAAAAAACAAACAAAAGGGTATTATTTTATGTGTATGGGTGTTTGCCTGCATGTTTTGTAGCATGTGTGCGCCCCATACTCTCAGAGAGTAGAAGGGAGCCTTGGACCCCTTGGGACTGGAGCCACAGATGGTTGTGAGTTGCCACATGGGCGCTAGGAATTGGACCCAGGTTACATGTCACAGGGAGGCAGTCTGCTGTCGTTTTTGAATGTATGGGTTATTGTCCACTTTAGGGAAAGTGAAAATAACTTGCAGCAGATGAATCTAACAGTCTTTCTCTAAATTGGTGCCGTGGGTGTCCAGGTGTGCACTCACAGTGGGCAGAGTTGGCATACGCAGGTTGCAAGTCCGCTGTACAGCAGGCTGCCCTGTCCACTGCTGGGGAAAGGCTAGCTGCTCACACCCTCAGTTATTCATGGCCAGGCTAACCAGGATGCCTAACACTCAACAGTCACCGAGGTCATAGCCAGGCAAAGGCACGGACGGATCCTGGTGGGAAATCCATTCATTAGAAAGGGTCCCTTGTCACTAGTGGATCATGTGCATTGAGGTACATTGGAGACCAGAGTCTGCTGAGCTGCCTGAAGTTTGTCTTTGCAGGCTCTGGTCGCTGCTTCTGCTGCTGCAGACCCCTGGTTCCCAGGTGCTAGCTTCTGGGTCTCTCTCTCTCTCTCTCTCTCTCTCTCTCTCTCTCTCTCTCTCTCTCTCTCTCTCTCTCTCTCTCTCTCTCTCTCTCTCTTCCTCCCTCCCTTCCTCCCTCCCTCCCTCCCTCCTTCCCTACCTTCTTTCTTTCTTTCTTTGAGATAGGGTCTCCCTTTATGTAGCTCTGACTGTCCTGGAGTTTACTATGTTGACCAGACTGACCTTGAACTCACAGAGATCTGCCCGCCTCTGCCACTTAAGGTATGGACCACCATGCCCAACTGATGCTGTTTTCTGGTGTCAGCATGTTCTGATGTCAGGACTTTGAGCAGAAGTGCCTCCGTCTTGATTTTTTTTTTTAATTTTCGGGTTTAAGTGTTCACTGCGGTTCCCTGGAAGAACAGCTAGTACTCATAACAACTGAGCCATCGCTCTAGCCCCAAGGTGTTGCCTCTTTATGGGCATTCGATGTGTGGTCTCCCCTCAGAACCTTCTGTGTGGTTATTAATGGGGTTATGATTGCTCTGACACCTTCCGGCTCAGGCTTCTGCTTTGTGCTGGGGGTGTCTGGCCGGGGGCCTCAGGCGAGGCATGCCTGTCCTCACATTCCACCTGACCCCAGGCTCTCTTCCTCCCCCTTGGCCTCTAGGTGCGCTACAAGGAGGAGTTTGAGAAGAACAAGGGTAAAGGCTTCAGCGTGGTGGCAGACACACCCGAGCTGCAGAGAATCAAGAAGACCCAGGACCAGATCAGCAATGTGAGTTCCTATCCCCCCCCCCCCCCGTTACCTAAGCTACCCTCTGCCCTCCTCTCTCATCCACCTCCACCCCCCCACCCCCACCCCCCACCCCCGCTGAGCAGCCCTGCCTTGGCTCCTCAGGAGGGCCTGCTTGAATAGAGGGAAGGGAGAAGCTGAGGTTCCCAAGTGCCTTTTCTTTGTTCCCCCTCTTTGCTAGGCATTCTGCCCAAGTGGCATTTCCTCCTTAAAGAGACTGCCCTTTTAGTGTGTGTGTGTGTGTTCCTGTTCGGTATGTGTGGATATTAAGTTGCCTCCCACTCCCTAGAGCAGCCCCCACCCCCTAGAGCAGCCCCCACCCCCGCATGGTGGGGGGCAGAGTGCAGATTAGATGCTTGTTTTAGCACCTGGGTCAGAGCTGGGTTGGGGGGGGCGTGTTGAGCCTCCTGTCTGCCTCTGGGTGCTAACACTGCAGTCATTTCCTCCCTCCCTCCCTCGCCAGCCTCCCACCTCAACTTGCTCTTCCTTCCTGTGTGAAAACCTAACTGGCTTGCCCGCTGGCCCTACACCCTCTTCAGACCGTTTCAGGCGGGAGCTGGGGCTGGCCATCGGCGTGTCTGTTGGGTGTTGGGTGTCTGGCTGTCAGATGGGTAGGCGTGGAGAGTGGGTGGGGAAGAGACGGTCCCTATGTGGTCCTTCAGAGCAGCTGGGGCTAGAGAACAGGCCTCAGTTTCCTTCTTTGCATGGCCATAGACTAGCAGCTCGTGTGGCTCTGGGCTTGCAGGGGCCTGATTTGGAGTATGTGGGGAGTAGAGTGCTTCGGTGGGTGACATCACAGAACATGTGCTCACGCCTGAGCACAGAGCATTAGAACATGCCCCGGCAGCTGCAGCGAGACTCCCGTAAATGAAGGATGAGGCAGGCACTGTCCTCGGTGTCTGTAACAGGAAAGGGCCCACCAGTTGCCTGTGTCACTCTGGGCTGAGGAACTGGAGATGGGTGGATAGGGTCCATATTCAGATGGTCCCCCTAAGTCCCCACCCTCCAGGTTCCACATCCCTCACCCTCCTGCCACTCTCATAAGCTAGTTGGGCTGCACCCCTGGTGAGTTATAGTGGAGGGTCAGGTAGAGTCCATGAGCATAGGGCTGAGACAGAACCACCCCTGCCCTGGGGAATGGCTTTCAAATTCTGCCCTCTGTCTGGAAGAAACATTCCCTTTCTTTGGTGGCACATGCCTGCTGAGGAAGGAGAGTCGTGGATTCAAAGCCACTCTGGAGGCTGAGGCAAAGATCAAGAGGTTGAAGCCATTCTGGGCTCTGTAATGAGACCCTGTGTGAAACAAGGAAAGCTTCCTGGAGGAGGACTAAGGATGTAGTTTCCCAGTAGAGCATTCACCCAGCATGCATCGGGCCCAGAGTGCCCTCCTCGGCACCCAAAAGAGGAAAAAAGGAAACCACTGTCATGAATGCGTGCTTTAGGCTTGGAACTCATTCAGATATTTTCTGTTCTTGTTTCATAAAAAGTGCCTGGGACAGGCTAACCAAGTGGGTTTTGCAATGCAGTCTTCATGCTGAAGTTTAAAATGAACGGCCTGAGGGAATGCACTGCTTCTCTTGGGGTGATCATCAGAAGCTTTAAACCCCCTTGGGCCCCCAGGAAACCTTCTTACAGTTGCCCTCTTCCAGCCTGGGCCTGACTCACACACCCTGGAGTTTCCTTTCTGGCTCAGACCACACAGAGGGCAAAAGGGTGTGTCAGAGAGCTCCCTAGATGGGGAGAGGGGAAGTGGTGTGGCCTTGGGTGACTGGGAAATCATGGCATGGCTCACAGCTCCAGTCATGTGGCTTTGTCCCTGAGACACATGTGGCTTTGTGTGCCAGCCTCAGGGACGCTCATTCATTGATTTACCCTCTGAGCTCAGAGACTCACAGGAGACCATCAAGCCCTAGTCATCCCTGTGTCACTTTCATTCTGACACCCAGTCTGTTTCACCTGCCTTTCTGCTCCCTGTTATTGAACATTGTAAGTGCTGATGCCTGAGGAGTTCTGCTAACAAAAACTGGCTGTGGCCAAGAAATCCACACTAGAGATAGCATCTTATCAGCCATCTCGGGGCTGCCATTAGCTGATTGTCCTGGTTCTGAGCTGGGGGGAGGTGCCTTGAACCTGGCCTGGGCTTCCAGAGCAACCAGACGGAGTTGGGAGCTGTGAAATGTGACTGAACGCTGGAAGTCTTTCCCTTGGTTTTAATGAATGTGATTAAGGTCTGTCTCTATCAGAACCCCCACCCCCCCACCCCCATCAGCTGGGCTGTAGCTCAGTGGTAGAGTGCTTAGCATGCTCAAGGCCCGAGGATTTAGTTTCCCCCCATATACAAACAAAGGGTCCCCTACGATCACAGGGCAGTTAGTGAAAATGTAGGCCCTCTGTTCGCCCAGCATTCCAGTTTGGCACCCCTGGACTGGAGCCCGAGATTCAGCATTGTAAACACATCCCCTACTTACTGTGGTCCATGCTGAGTGAAAGTTATCACTTAAACTCAAAAGGTTTTGCCAACCCCTCAGTCAGAGGACGCCAGACCTGGCTGTGTCCCAGAACTCTGAGGGAATTTTAAACCACAGGCAGAACTGTGGCTAAGCGGTGCCAACCTCCAGCGTAGCTCTGAGAAGGCTGCTGTTCAGAGCCACACTGTATTTTGGTTCCAAAATAGCATCCCTGTGTGTGGCCTGTCTCTTCCTAGATTAGCACCTAATGACAGGTGGCCATTTCTGGAGGCCACACTGTCCTATAGAGATGGAGCCTGGCTTCGCCAGCCAGAGCAGTTGGAAACCAAGTCCCTGTTCTCCTGGGATGGTGATGTTTGCTTGGAGATGTGCGGTCTGTCTTCTGCCCTGTGTAAAGCAAGAGGTTGAACGAGACAGGCATGCTGGCTGGAATGGGGGCTCCTGTCTTTCTGTCCCACAGCTGCCGGGCAGCTCTGAGTTTCAGTTTACTCCTCTGTAAAGCAAGAGTAGTCATGTGACTGCAAGAGAAAAGCCGAGTAAGTATGTGGTCAGTGATGAGCATTGTCAGTGGTGTTCAGAGGCAGAGCTAACCTCTCTACACTGTGAGAACAGAAGGGACGCCAAGGGCCCAAAGGTGCAGCTCAGTGGCAGAATGTGGGTTTAGCATGTGTGAGACCATGAGGTCCATCCCTAGGGGAGAGGTGGAGAGGGGAGGGAGGGAATTGCATATCTCTTATAGTTCTGGCTTCACTGGAGGCGTGTCCTGGCACTGTGCTGTGGGGCAAAAGCTTTAAGTTCACATACATTTGCTCTAAATCGCTGAGGACTTTTTGTTTGTTTTTTAAAATAATTTAATCCTATTTTATGAGCATTGGTGTTTTGCCTGTGTGAGGGTGTCAGATCTTGGAGTTACAGACAGTTGTGATCTGCCATGTGGGTGCTGGAAACTGAACCCGAGTCCTCTGGAAGAGCAGCCAGTGAATGCTCTTAACTGCCGAGCCATCTCTCCAGCCCTCATTGAGAATTCAATGAATGAGAAATGGCTTTTGCTGAACCTTTTGTGGGAGTGTTGTTTTCTCTTGTTCACATGTCTATACCCCCAGCCCCAATTTTGTGTCTTTTTTTCCCCTGGCAAACTGAACCATACATACAGCTACAGTAAGCAGCTCTTTTCTCACTGTGCAAACCAAGGACTAGGGGTGTCCAGCCTTTCATGCATGAGGCCTTGGGCCTGATCTTCAGGGCCACTTAAAGAGAAAGGAAAAAGCCTGGCGGTGGTGGCTCAGCAGACATGGGTGGGTCTCTGAGTTCCAGGCTAGCCCTGGTCTAGAGAGCAGAGCAGGGTCCAGGTAGCTAGGGCTACACAGAGAAACCCTGTCTAATTTGGGGTGGGATGTGAAACTCTGATAGGAAGCCATGTTACATGTTGCTTGAGAACTAAGGCTCATGTTATATTAGTAGTAGATTCTGTTGGACTCTATTTAACCTCTTCAGGCTTGTTTTCCCCATCTGTGAAATGGGGGCAATAGTGCAGTGGTATTCTTGGACTGGGTGAGGAAAGGAGAGGAGTAATATATTAGGACTTCACCCCTTCCCTCCCCCCAAAAAGGACAGGCTGACAAGAGCAAGCTAGCTATTCCATTTAAAGTCTGATGTTACTGGCTAAGCTGTGACGCAGCGTCATGTGGAGACAGACACATGGCCAGTCAGACTTTTTCCCACCGCAGTCAGGAAGCAGGTGCTTCAGAAAGCAGAACATCAGCCAGTCTCGGAGGGGACCCTGCCCAGTCACACCAAAGCCTGCCCAGTAAGGGTCCTTTGGTCCCAGTCACTGAGCCCACATGCACAGAGACCTGGCTTCCTGCCATGTAGGCCCTGGACCTTGCCTGTCCTCATTTGGGCTCTTTCTCTGAGTTTGAGGCCAGCCTGGTCAACGGAGTGAGTTCCAGTACAGCCAGGGTTAAAAAAAACAAAAACAAACAAACAAACAAAACCAAAAATCAGGACTTTGGGGAATGCTTACTGCTCTTGCAGAGAACCTAATTCGGTTCCCAGCACCCACATGCTAGCTTATAACCACCTGTAACTCCAGTTCCAGGGGATCCAATGCCCTCTTCTGACCTCAGAAGGCACCGAGTATGTGGTGCACAGACATACATGCAGGTAAAATACAAATAAAAATATCTGAGTCATGTGTGAGTCACGATCGGCAGGATCCTCTGGAGGATGTTTCTTTGCCTGTTAAGAAACTGCTAGGTGGGCCAGGAGTGCTCACACAGCTTCCCTGTTTTTCTGGGGAGGAAGTGGGGGGCAGTGGTCAGCCCGGGCAGGGCCTCACTTTCAGCCTCTGTGCCCCATGCTTCCCTTTCTTGTTTGCATGTCTGGATTCTCCCCAGAGAGGAGGGGATAGTCCTCTGATTTTGAGGGGGATAGAGGCACACTCAATGTTGGGACAGAAAAAGATAGAATGGCAACTAGGTCACTCTGTTCTCAGGCAAAGGCCTGCCTGCCTGCCTGCCTGCCTGCCTGTCTGTCTGGGATTTTGTCCATTGTCCCAGTCAAACTTCCCGCATGGAGGTCTGCAAGCCTTTCTTCCCATCCCTCCCCTAGGAAATGGGAATGAACGTGTGTATCCATCTTGAATTATCACTTACTTAGTATATGTGTTGTGGAGGTCAGAGGACAACTTGAAATCCAGCTCCCTGCTTATAGTTTTTTGTTTGTTTTGCTGTTTCAAGCCAGGGTTTCCCTGTGTAGCTCTAGCTGTCCTAGAACAGAGTGTGGGGCTTTGTGCATACTATACTAGAGCAAGCACTCCATCACCTGAGCTACAGAACCAGCTCTAGAGACATAGCCAGGCTGGCATGATGGCTTTTCATGGCGGTTATCTCATGGCACCTGTAGTAACTCATAGCATACACATCCGACGGTCCAGTTTTAAGGAGGTTTAACTAAGCCAGGAAGCAGGTGAACATCTGCCAAGTTCAAGGGCAGCCTGGTCTATGTGGTAAGACCTTGTCTCCAGAAAAAAAAGAAAAGAAAGGTTTAGCTGAGGCTTGTCATGGTTGTTACTTGGTTACTTAGACAGCTGGAACTCTGTCTTTCTGTAGTCTCACATAGTGTGTGTGTGTGTGTGTGTGTGTGTGTGTGTGTGTGTGTGTGTGTGTAAGGGTCTCACTGTGTTGCTCAGGCTGGCCTTGGGTTCCCAGCTCCCCCCTCCTGCCTCAGTGGCCGGGATGACAGGCACCACACCCAGCTTGGGTGGTGATGGGAGAGGGCTGGTTGGCTGACCTGGTTGTTCCTTCTGCTCTGCAGATCAAATACCATGAGGAGTTTGAGAAGAGCCGCATGGGGCCCAGTGGAGGTGAAGGTGTGGAACCAGAGCGCCGAGAACCCCAGGACAGCAGCAGCTACCGGAGGCCACCTGAGCAGCAACAGCAGCAGCCTCCCCACATCCCGACCAATGCCCCAGGTAAGTGCTAGCCTGGGAGGTGGGGAGGGCGAGAGGGGCCCCTGAGGTCAGGAGAGCAGGGTAGTGAGAAAGTGGCTGCACACATACAGGCATCCATGCATGTAGAACTGTTCCCACCCTGCTGAGGGTGTGGGTGGATCCATCCGGAAAGTAGATCCCAGTCTGAGGAGCATACGGCCCTCGTGAAGATCCAAGACACTAAGGAATGTGCACGCCTAGCTGTAAGCCTTTGTGGGGGCCTGCTGAGCACGGCTGGGGTGGGGTTGAAAATTCATGCTTTTGGCTTCATAGGGCATGGGGCGATGGGCTTGGCAATACACTTTCTGAGTCCTGTCTCTTCCATCTTCCAGTTTACCAGCAGCCCCAACAGCAGCTGACTCCATCCTATGGTGGCTACAAGGAACCTGCAGCCCCTGTCTCCATACAACGTAGTGCCCCAGGTGGTGGTGGGGTGAGTATCTGCCTGGAATGCAGAGACCCTGGAATAAGAGTGGTCACAGCGTATGCACCTGTGTGCGGGCACACACGCGCACACACACACGCACACACGCACCCACACTAAAAGTTAAGGATATAGCTCGTAGTAGAGCACTTGCCTGAAATGCACAGGACTTTGGGGTCCAGTTCCCTGTACTGCATCCCTTTCCCTTAGGAAACGATTATGTACCGCTGGCTTTTGTGTCTTGGGGGGGGGGCAGGAGTTAGTCCTGTGCTTGTGCTGCCATCTTGAGCCAGGCCTATGGTAGGACTCATCCAGTTTTTTTTCTGGGTGAGCAAATGAGCAACAGTAAGAAGCTTGACAGTCCTTGGTGTGAACATGCTGGCCTTGATGTTCGAGGATACATCCCACTAGGGTGCTTAGGCTGATCTCCATGCTGGGTGTTGGGATTAAAGGCATGCACCCGGCTGGCACATCAGATTTTAAAACTACTGACTTGGTGTTGAGCCTATGGGACTTTAAGGCTGACCTGTAGAAACAGGTACAAGATATTCTGTGGCAGAGTCCATCCCAAGCCCTGTCCTCTGGTTCATTGGTCTCCCGAGGTCCCTGAGAAGTAGAGAGAAAACACGGGGCCCGGGAGTCACTTGGTGGAGCGCAGGTGAAGGTCTGGGTCTGGGAGACCCACATCCAATACCCAGGGTGACCATTGGCTGTGCTCCCCAGAAACGGTACCGCGCAGTATATGACTACAGTGCTGCCGACGAGGACGAGGTCTCCTTCCAGGACGGCGACACCATCGTCAACGTGCAGCAGATCGATGACGGCTGGATGTATGGGACCGTGGAACGCACTGGCGACACAGGGATGCTGCCAGCCAACTACGTGGAGGCCATCTGAGCCCCGTGCTGCCCCACCCTCTGTCCTCAATGCATTCCATGCATCACATCTGTCCTGGGGCCTGACCCACCCACCCCTCAGTGTCTCTGTCTCTTAAGATCCGCCACTGCTTCATCCCTGCCCCTCCTCCAGCTTCTTTTGCGGACCCAGGCCTTGTTCTGCCACTGTCTGGGGCTCCTTCCTCTGGCAGGTTTTCCCTTGGACCAACTGACTGATTGACTTTTCTCTCTGGATGGAACAGGCTGGGCACTCTGGGGAGGGCAGGACTCTTCTGGGGAGGGTGGGCTCACAGGGCTGGGCTGAAATAACTAATAGGCAACCCATTAAAGAGATTGGATAGGCGGGGCATAGTGGCACATACCTTTAATTCCAGCACTAGGGAGTCAGAGACAAACGGATCTCTGAATTCAAGGCTGGCCTGATCTGCATCATGAGTTCCAGGACAGCCAGATGAGACCCTGTCTTGGGGAAGGGAGGATTAGTTAGCTCCCAGCTCCACTTCCTGCCTTAGGCCCTTCAGAACCCCTGACCTAGCTCCCCTGGCACTCTGTATCCTAGGGTTGGGGTGAGCCCCATACTCCTCATACCTCCAGGTGGGGTTCCATACATTCCCAGGGGGAAGGTATTAACGCCTCAGTAATGTTGGGACCAATGTGATGAGTTTACCTTTTTGCTAGTTCGCCCTCCTCATCCTGTGTGTGTTCCTTCACACACTGAGTGTGCCGTCCTGCCCACACAAACCTAGGATGGCCAAAGAGCTCCTCGGGAAGCACAGCTGGGGTCAAGTTCTTGCCTTACTTTTAGGGGCAGCGGCGGGACGCGGGGTGTTCTCCCCGGGCCTGTCTCTCCCCGCCTCCCCCAGCTCCAGGGACTCTCTTTATCTCCCTGACTGGGGGCCTGCTGTGAAGGGTAGAGCAAGGGATGCCTCTGCCGCTTGAGCTAACTGAGCTGTTCCTTCCTGCTCCCCAGGGAGGAGGTCTCCGCGTCTCCTATGGCCTTCCCTTCCTGCGACAAGGCTGGATGGGGCCTGGAGCTTACGAAAATGACACAGGAGGCTCCATCCTTTTGCTCACTCACTGGGGAGGTGGGAGAAGGCTTTCCTGTCCTTGTGTCTGAGGCTGCAGAGTAGGGTAGGACCAAGTCACCCACACTGTGGCACCTCCCTCGGGGCTCTCCTGCCCTTGGAGCAGGGAAGAGAGTCCAGGACCCCAAAGCTGGCGGCACCATCTCTAGACTGGTGCTAAACTCTCAGGTTCGCACCTGGGGCCTGGGACAGTCCTTACTTGGCTTCATTCATCTCTGAGTTTTCTTGTCACCTCTCCTGGGTCCCCCGACTCTCATCTTCACTTTGAGTCTCTATCAGGTCCCTTTGCACACAGACCCTGCTGCAGGCGAGGTTTGAACCTGAAGCCACTGGTCAGATCACCGATGCAGTGGTCAAGACACCCTGGGAGGGCTTAGTGAGGAAGCTCTCCCACCTGGCCGGTCCCCTCTCCTGTGCGCAGCATGGGACCTTTGTGGAGGCACAGCAGGAGTCCCTGGGGAGGTGACAGTCTACTCCATTTCCTCTTGATCTCAAAGCACAATGCGGTTCTGGGGACCAGAGGTCAGGGACTCTCACCCTTGGAGGGCCTGTGCTTGGGAGGCGCCTGGTTCCAGTCAGCTGGACCTCCCTTCCCAACATAAGCCCGTGCTCTTCTACTGCTCTAGAAATGAGGGAGACGCTTACACACCCATAGAGGGAAGAGGATCTATCTATTGGTGCTGAGGGCCCCAGCTGGAGTCCATATTCTTTTCCAGAAGCATCCACCCCTAGGAGAGCACAGGATCCCCAAGCCCATGGTCTCTTCTTTTGTAAAGGTCTTTCAGCCAATCAAAACCCAGGAAAAAAAAGCACCTTGGCTAGACTGTGAACTTAACTTTGTGGGCCAACCCTGCAACACAAGAAGCTGGTGGTGAGAAATATAAATTCTCCCCACACTGCTTCCCGTTTCCCCGCCCTCGTGTCCCTCCAGGGAGCATTTTATTTGCTAATAGCTGGACACAAGACAAAAAGTACCATCCCACAAAGCTTATATTTACAAGGAAACAGAAATGGCCCTGTGAAATTCGCCTCTGTCCGACATTCCATCTGTGTGTGTGTGGTGTGTGTCTATGTGTGTAAAGCTGCCCACTCATCTTTTATATGGGGTTGTCATCTTTCTTTGGTCTGTTTGGTCCCCTCCCTCCTGGCCTTGCACTTGGGATCAGTTCTTTCTGGCCTGTTATGATTCTGAACATTGACTTGAACCACAAAGTGAATCTATCCTGGTGACACAAATAAAAGTCTAATTTTTACCTGCGGACTGGGCTTCCTCTTTGGCTCTGAAGTAACTTCTATGTGTGTCCTGTCTGCCAGGGGACATTGACCTGTCACCCACGGTGAGCCCAGTAGAAACCAAAGGGTAGCTGTCTCTTCATCATGCTTCAACATCTGCTTCCTCCTTGAGGACACACCCCAGCCCTCCAAATGGCTTCCACCAGTGACAGTTCTGCCATTACGCAAGGCTGGCATTCCCTGCATTCTGAGGGCCCTCACAGTCCCCCCTCGTCCGCTAAGCATCTTCCTCCCTCCCAGCCAGGGTACCCAGGCATGGCCAGGGGTCTCATCAAGTTCCTGGTCTCTGGCTCCAGGCCAGCCAGTGAGCTCAGCCCGGGCATGTTTTAGCCCAGTGTGTACCATTGTCACGGTTGAATTGTAAAATGATAGCAACTAGGACAGTCCCCAGTACCTCGGATCCTGGATAAACCCTCCATAGGGTGACCTGGCAGGCAACACACGGCAGCCTTCCCACTTTCCCATTCCCACTTTCCTATCTCCTCCCAGCCCTATAATGGGCTGAACCCAGCCAACTAGATTGCAGGCACTACAGCCCCCTTTTTTGTTCCATGGGTCTGGGAAGGGACCTGCGGTAGGCGATACAGCCCTTTGGACCCTGGTTCCTGTGTATCTTGCTGGCCTGGTGCTACCGCTGTGGTAGCAAGTGGCCCTATGCACCTGCTGAATGACACCTGGCCTAGCTCCTGGCACTTAGCCTTATCCTTCCTTTGACCAACTGGATATCTTTTGTCCCACTATGTGAACTTTGTTTGGGATTTTCCCAAGAAGACAAAACTTGGTTCAGGAAACCCAGAAAACTGTGATACTTATGAATTGAGGTTTTACACATGCCAAAGTCTTTTTGGAAGCCTCATTCAAGTTATTCTAAGCATACGGTAACAACTGACTAAAGTGTAGATATAAAGAGAAATACAAATGCCCTGGGCATAGTGAAGGTACGTCAGTTTCTTGAAGCTGGGGGTCCCCTGCAGCTGCAGAGGCTAAAGTTCATTCTTAAAGTGTTTGAGTTTTCTTTCCGCTGACCCTCATGAACCCCCACCCACACCATGACATCCTCAACACTTCTGGTCATCGGCTATGTGTCTGGAGGCTTTGCAGCAGGGCATTTTCCACTGGGGCCACACATGAAGGTATTCCCTGGCCCCAGGGGAGCAGCAGGCGAGAGGCAAAGAGCTAAAGTAATCAAGAGAATGGCAAGGCTGAATGCAGGAGAGTGGGGAGTGCTCCAGGTGTGGGGAGTGCTCCAGGAACAGGAGAGTGGGGAGTGCTCCAGGCATGGGGAGTGTTCCAGGCAGTGCTGAGGTCCCACAAAGGCAGTTCCTGACACTGTCCCTGAAGGAGCTTATAGTTCCCAACAGCAGCAGAAGAGCCTGCCCACCTGGTGATGCGCCTCTTTTCCTTGCTTCAGGTCCCTTCCTGGAAGCTTCACTGGTCACCTGCCTAAGTTCCTGAGCTGTTTGGTGTCGCGTCTGCTGCGCGGCCTGTGTCCGAGAAGGTGCGGAGGGTGTCGGGGATTGACAACACAGAGACTTGTTCAACGATGTAAAGAAAACTTTAAGCAGGCTCCAAAAAGGTTCAAGAAAACTTCCTAAAAAAGGCTCCCACCAGAGAAGCTTCTGCTCTCTCCTCTACCCTGGCTGGTTCTGCTCTGACCCCAGAAACTGATCTGGGCGTGGCAGAAGGGGCGGTTAGTCTTTGGACAAGGTCGAGGTCAGGGTGGTTTCTGTAGGCAGGCCTTTTCCAGGAACTTAATGCCCCCAGGCATTGTATTGTTTTTAGCAAACATGTCTTTAGATTGTCTTACAGCTGCCAACTCCCAGGCAGAAGGGGAAGTGGGTCTCTGCTCAAGGTCTGGTGTTCCCACAGTTTGGGGTGAGGCTAAGGATGCTAGACCTCAGAGGTGGCCTACAGGAATTTTCTTCTTTTAATAATAAACAGTTGGTGTGCACACACAGAGCAGAAATGAAAACATATCACTTAGGGGGCATGGGTTTTTTGGTTTTGGTTTTGGTTTTGTTTTTTCAAGACAGGGTTTCTCTGTGGCTTTGGAGGCTGTCCTGGAACTAGCTCTTGTAGACCAGGCTGGTCTCGAACTCACAGAGATCCATCTTCTTCTGCCTCCCAAGTGCTGGGATTAAAAGAGGCATGTGCCACCACTGCCTTGCTGGGGCATGTTTTTTTTTTAAGATTTATTTATTTGTTTATTTATTATGTATACAGTGTTCTGCCTACATGTATGCCTGCTAGCCAGAAGAAGGCACCAGGTCTCATTACAGATGGTTGTGAGCCACCATGTAGTTGCTGGGAATTGAACTCAGGACCTTTGGAAGAGCAGTCAGTGCTCTTAACCTCTGAACCATCTCTCCAGCTCCTGGGGCATGGTTTTTTAATGTTATTTTTTATTTATTGTGTGTGCATGTGCAAGTGTGTATATGTGTTTACACCACAGGACTGTGTGACACATCACAGGACAATTTACAGGAGTCAGTTCTGTTCTCCATGGGTGGCCCAGGGATTGAACTCAGCTTGTCAGATTTTGTGCAAGGCACATGTACTGTCTGAGTCTGTTGTTGGTTCTGATGCCACTGACATTTAATAAGACATCCATCTTTTCTCCCTCAGAAGAAACCAATCAACAGCTGGCTGTAATCTCAACACTCTGGAGGCCGAGAGGGAGAGGCAGCAGAACACAGTCAAGGCCAGCTTGGGTTACATGAGATCTTCTCAAAACAAAACAACAAAAAAAACAACAAAAAGAAAAATACATAATTTGTATTTCCAGACACTTACTACCCTGGAGTGGGTGTAGGGGTTTCTCAGTGTCTTTTCTGAGGATGGCATTGGGCTAAACTCTCTGAAAAGACAATGCAAGTATGATGGAACAGAAAGGGTGGAAGAGAGACCTCATGTAACACAAATGAGCTTAGGCTCTCAGATCTCCCAGACCAACAAGGCAAGCCTGTGAGGTGAATTCAAAAGAATGTGGGTTTAGGTGAGGGACACATACCTTTAACTAATCCCAGCACTCTGGGGAAATCTAGTTCCAGGACAGCCAAGGACTGTTACACAGAGAAACCCTGTCTCAAACACACACACACACAGAGAGAGAGAGAGAGAGAGAGAGAGAGAGAGAGAGAGAGAGAGAGAGAGAGAGAGAGAGAGAGAGAGAGAGAGAGACAGAGAGAGAGAGACAGAGAGAGAGAGACAGAGAGAGAGAGACAGAGAGAGAGAGAGAGAGAGAGAGAGAGAGAGAGAGAGAGAGAGAGAGAGAGAGAGAGAGAGAGAGAGAGAGAGAGAGAGAGAGAGAGAGAGAGAATATGGATTTAGAAGAGAGCCTTGCTGAGTTCTGCCTCTCTGTTGACAAACTGTGAGACAAGCAAGCTCATGACCACCTGAGCCTCTGAGCCCAGGCTATAACAGAGGTCAGACAGGTTGAAATTACCCCATGTGTGCAATATCTGACACAGTGTAAAACTTGTGTCCACACCATGGATGCCCTCTGAGACCACATGAGACCTTTGACCGTGATCTCCTTTGAACTAGCTGATGGCCCTCCCAACTGGTAACAATTACTTTTTGAGGTAAATTGCCAGAGGTGTGAGAGGATAAAGGAGAATGCGTCCCTAAGGGGTCTGTGGAGATCCTGCGCTCACACCTCCCGGAGCAGCCCCCTCAGTGCAGAAACTGTATCTAAATACAGGGAGTGGTTCCACACACAGGGGCGGGGCTGGCTTCCTGGGAAGAAATTGAACCTCTCCGGTTTTGCCTGGTCTAAAAGGAGCTGTTCCATGGTTACCCACCGTGGGCTTTGTGATTGGCTGACTGTGGTGATGGAGGTGGGGAGTAAGCGCTGATGGAGCTGCAGCATCCCTTAGCCTCAGGTCCCTGGGAGGGGGAGGGACCAGGAAGGGGGAGGGAATAGGAGCCATTTCTCTGCGCTGACCGGCCTCCACGCTTGCAGCTCTCATTTCCCCGGAATCCAGGCTACTCCCCTGCTTAGCATTGCACCATGCTGGATATTTTCATCCTCATGTTCTTTGCCATCATAGGCCTGGTGGTTCTGTCCTACATTATCTATCTGCTCTAGCGGCCTGGAGCTGCAGGGGCTGCGAGGGGAAGAAGGATGGAGCCGAAGCGCCGAGCATCCTGCTTGCTGACACACCGGTGGATTTTTGCTTCTGGTCATTATTCGGGTATTGATTCAAAAACAAAATGAAAAGAGCTTGTTTTTTGTATCTATTTCTCAGACATTGACGTAGCATTTCTTGGATCCATTTGAAAAGAACAAGAAAGGCAAGGTTCCTTTGGGAACCAATTTAAAATGTGATTTCTTAAAATTAAAAATAAGCTTCACAATGCACTGGGTTTTAGGTAGGATGGGAGGGGAGGTACGTACGTGGTAGAGAGGGACTATCATTTCCTAATTTCCTCTTCTAGGTAGAAGCAAAACCAAGTTGTACATTTTCTACTGGCAATGACTACAGTACATTCTTATGTATGGGGCAGGGTGGTTTCCAAATCTGCCGGTATAACTGTGTTCATTAATTCACGGTGCTGCCACAACTGCATTCATTAACTCACTAGTGATTCATTCCCACTTGAGAAACAGTAGCAAATGAAATTTACTTGGGGTAAGGTCTGGGGGCGGGGCCCATTTTTCCCAGCTATGGAATTTGGTGTGGAGGAGTGGGGAGGACTCTGGGATATCTCGGTAGTTCCTGAGCGGTAGAGGTGCCTCTCCTGCAGTTCCCAGCTGAGCACTTTGTTTCTGGGTTTCCCACAGCTCCGGTGTTCCGTCCAGCGAGAGGGCTCTGCCCAATAGCAGGAGTCCTGAGGCCCAACTGACTTCTTCCAATGTGTCGGGATGTGGCTAACCCTTGGCAAGCAGGGGCTCTATGAGGCAGAGGCACTCCTGGGGACATCAGGAGTTCAAGGATACCACTGGCAGCTGCTGCATGTGTTTAAGCTGTAGACAGGGTGTATTGGAAATGTGGAAGGTTGAAACGTACAAACAGTAAAACCACAGTGGAGAACTGCCAAAGCATTCATATGGGCAACCTTTCCTTAGATCTAAATACAGCCGCACGAAAGCAGGCGTTCCCTTGTAAACTCAAGGGCAAATTCAGCTTGTCTGTCCTATCGGTGTCTTTATAGATTGTGCAGTCTGAGGTCGTCGTGTAGTTTCCCTGATTGCTAGCCTCCCCACCCCCCAAAAACCCTGTCATTTGCACTTTTTAAGATTTATTTCTTCCCTCCTTGTCCCATTTGTCCCCAGCTTCTGTCTGATGAGAGACATGGCTGTGAAGTTCTTATTCTTTGTGCCTACCTATAAAGCATTGAAACAAAATGTCTATATTAATTTAGGAAAATAAATTTTACCCCTAAGGGAGGGGCTTTAAAACTTTGATTGTTAAATGCTCCTTCTGTTTAGAAAACAAAACTGTTTTCGTATTTCCATGTCTAGTTAGGGTGGGGAAAAAAAAAGTTTTAGGATATACAGTGGTTTTGGCCTCAAATCTATGGCGTCTGCTATTCCCTTGGAGACTCCATCATACTTATTCTACATTGATTTTCTTTTCTAGATTAAAAATAAACAAGGAAAATGAATGAACAGTTTTTGTAATAATATTTTGTTTATTTCCTTTATTTATTTATTTTCAAGACAGGGTTTCTCTGTAGCTTTAGAGTCTGTCCCGGAACTTGATTTGTAGACCAGGCTGGCCCCCAACTCATAGCTGGAGAGATGGTTCAGTGGTTAAGAATACTGGCTGCAAGCTGGGCGGTGGTGGCACACGCCTTTAATCCCAGCACTCGGGAGGCAGAGGCAGGCGGATCGCTGTGAGTTCGAGGCTGGGCTGGACCGACAGCCTCGAAAACAATACAGAGAAACCCTGTCTCCTAAAAACCAAAAAAAAAAAAAAAAAAAAAGAATACTGACTGCCATTCCAGAGGACTAGGGTTCAATTCCCATCACCCACATGGGAGTTTACAGTTGTCTTTAATTCTAATATCTGAAGTTCTTACACAGATATATATGCAGGCAGATCTCTGTGAGTTCGAGGCCAGCCTGGTCTACAGAGTGAGTTCTAGGACATGCAGGGCTACACAGAGAAATCCTGTCTTGAATCCCAGCACTTGGGAGGAAGAGGAAGGGAGATTTCTGTAAGTTCAAGGCTAGCCTGGTCACAAAGCAAGTTTCAGGACAGTCAGGGCTGTTACACAGAGAAACCTTGTCTCAAAAAACAAAAACAAATCTAAAACTCTTTGCTACATAATTCCTTGGAAATGACATCACTAGGAATAAAATCCCTAGACAATTTTAGTAGTTTACCACACTCTACCATCCTGCCCCAAACGGCTTTGTTCCAGGCAGGGTCTTGCTATCGAGCCCAGCTGGCCTCAGCCTCAGTCCTCCTGCCTCAGCCTCCTGGATGCTGAAATTACAAGTTGTGTGTCCACCTTAACACAATACCTTATAACGAAAATTCGACTGCACGATAAATTTGAGGAGAAAATGTGTTTATTTACTGCAGATACTATTTCAGATAGTTTGTGGTGTTAGCACATTAACAGACACAATACTGTGTGACAATGTGGACCTAAGACAAGTAACCCACAGATTCACTAATGTCATAAGCATGGCCTTGACACTCAGGGGCACCTCGACATTCTCCTCTCAGGTAGTTCTCTGATTTTAGCCTAGTCTTATTTCAAACTCCAAGTCCTTCCTACCTTTGTCCTTCCTTATTTAAGTTTTTCTTGAGATGATTGGGATGGTGTCTTCTTATGTAGTCCAGGCTGGCTTCAGACTTGAAATTCTAACAGCCTCCACTCCTAAGAGCTAGGATTACAGGCCTGAACCACCAAACCTGGCCCAAACTACAATTTTCTACAAAGATAGCAGTTCTGTACCCTTACCTAAGCAAGTATCAAGTAGAAGGAATTCAAAGTACTGAGTTAATTATGGTGCTTAAATCTTTAAGGTGTAGTCTCTAATCAAGCTCACTCTGAAGTTTTATGGAACCAAAGTTCTTCAGTTTGTACTCATATAGAACTGAAACACCTTGTCAGTAATTCAGAGAGAGGGCAGAGGCTGATCTCAGTTATACATCAGGCACATAAGCCTCTAGACATGGGCACAACATAAGAATCAGAAGATTACCCTCTAATTTTTTTTCATTATGTGTGTGCATACCTGAGTGTATGTCTATGCATCATGATCCTGCAGAAGCCAGAGAGGTCAGAAGAGGGTGTCAGATTCCCTGGAACTGGAGTACAGATGGGAGCTGGGTACTGACTGAATCTGAGTCCTCTGCAACAGCAGTAAATGCCCTTAACACTTGGACCATCATCTCTCCAGCCCCAGACTAGCCTTTTAAAGAATGCTATTTATAAAATAAAACATCAAGTTAAAAAATCATTTAGTGTGTGTGTGTGTGTGTGTGTGTGTGTGTGTGTGTGTGTGTACATTGGTACCACAGCCTGTATATGGGAGTCTGTCTGTTTTATCCTTATACCATGTGGGTCCAGAGGATCAACAGGCCTTCTGGTATGACAGACAGGCACCTTTACCACTGTGATGTCTCATCAGTAGTTTCCATAGTTTTAAGAAATAAACTTTGGCCAGACCTGGTGGTGCACACCTTTAATCCCAGCTCTTGGGAGGCAGAGACAATCGGATTTCTGTGAGTTTGATGCCAGCCTGGTCTACAAGGCAAGTTACAGAACAGCCAAGAGAAACCCTGTCTTGCACCCCCCCTCACATACAAAATAAATAAACTTTGAAGAATTGGTACTTTGTGTCTACACACCCATGCAATAGTACTCAGGAATAATAGCAGGGTTTCTGTTGTGTTGCTTTGTTTTTTGTTTTTTTCTAAGACAAGGGTGATAGGGGATGTCCTTCTGTATGTTGTGAATCTATGTCTGGCTCATTGGTTGATGAATAAAGCTATTTCGGCCAATGGACAGGCAGGATTTAGCCAGGTGGGAAATCCAAACAGGGATAAAGGTAGTAGGTGGAGTTAGGGAGATGCCATGTAGCTGCCTAGGAAGCAAGAGACCCTGGCATCACTGGTAAGCCAAGACCACATAGAGATACACAGATGAGTGGAAATGGGTTAATAATTAAGAGAGAGCTAGCCACAAAGAAGCCTGAGCCATTGGCTAAACAGTTTATAACAAATATAAAACTGTGTGTTTGGGCTGGAGAGATGGCTCAGAGGTTAAGAGCACTGACTGTTCTTCCAGAGGTCCTGAGTTCAACTCCCAGCAACCACATGGTGGCTTACAACCTTCCATAATGAGATCTGGTACCCTCTCCTGGCCTGTTGGCATACATAGAGGCAGGATGTTGTATTCATAATAAATGAATAAAATTAAAAAGCAAAACAAAACAAAACTGTGTGTTTATTTGGGACTAAACATCTGTGGAAACCAGGTGGAACAGAAACTTCCATCAACACAAACGCTTGCTAAATAGCACAGGCTGGCCTCATCTTCCTGTTTCAACTTCTCCAGTGCTGATATTACTTTTGTTTTGATAAATTTACTTATTTAAAAATTTTCTTTTATTATTATCTTATGTATATGGGTGTTTTGCCTGCATGTATGTCTGTGCAACATACATGTACCTGGAGCAGAGCCCAAAAGATAGTGTTGGATCTCCTAGAAATGTAGTTACAAACAATTGTGAGCCAACAAGTAGGTGTTAGGAATTGAACTCTGACCTCTGCATGAGCAGCTATTGCTTTTAATTGCTGAGTTATCTCTCCAGCCCTGATAAATTTTGCTCAGCCTAGTGGCACAAATCTTTAATCCCAGCACTTGGGAGGAAGAGGCAGGTAGATGGTCTGAGTTGAGGCCATTCTGGTTTACAGAGCAAGTTTCCAGGCCACATAGTGAAACCTTATCTCAAAAACCAAACAAAAACATTTTATTTACTTTTTTTTTGAGACAAGGTCTCTCTATGCAACCCTGGAACTCACCAGGCTGGCCTCGAACTTAGCGTCCCCCTGTCTCTGCCTCTGAGAACTGGGACTAAAGGTATGCACCACCACCATCCAGGTAACATTTTATTTTTTTAGATGGTCTCCAAGCTCTGTCCAGGTCACTCTTAAGCTTCTGGGTTCAAGTGATCCTCTTGCCTCTTGAGTAGTTAGAAAGAATAATAATTATTTTAAAATTTTCAGCTGACCTGGAATCCATTTATGTACCTTAGGCTGGCCTTGAACTTGTGGCAGTCCTTTTGCCTCAGTCTCCTAAGTACTGGGATTATATGAACTACAATGTGTCTATTTATACTACATGCATATTGGCATTCTCAAGCACAATAAAACACTGAAAATTTTAAAAATTTAACTTTATTTTATGTGCATTAGTGTGAAGGCATCAGATGCCCTAGAACCTGAATTACAGACAGTTGTGAGCCATATGGATGCTGGGACTTGAACCCAGTGCTCTTAACTATTGAGCCCCAATACTTCAGTCCCCAACACTAAAATTTTTATTTGTGTAATATAAAGTTTTGTATATATTTTACAGATCTCTGTTATAATGTCATCATGTTTAGCATATTTGGCTCATGCTAATGCACTAAAATATTTCTAAAAAGCGGTAAATTATGCTGAAAAATTAAGATTACATAATTCTAAGAATCATTATATTAATTTTGTTTTGTTTTTTCAGGTTTTTTTTTTTTTTTTTTTTTGGTTTTTACGAGACAGGGTTTCTCTGTATTGTTTTGGAGGCTGTCGGTCCAGCCTGGCCTCGAACTCACAGAGATCTGCCTGCCTCTGCCTCCCAAGTGCTGGGATTAAAGGTGTGTGCCACCACCGCCCGGTTTGTTTTTTTTTTTTTTTGTTTTTTTTTTTTGTTTTTTTCAAGACAGGGTTTCTCTGTATTGTTTTGGAGGCTGTACTGGAACTCGCTCTGTAGACCATTATTAATGTTTTTTATGAAAGTATAGAAAAGTGTTATAATTTATTTTAGGAAAATTACTACTAAAAGGATCCATTTTGAGAAAGAGGAGTGAAATGCTGCAAAGCCAGACACCTTCAATGTATTTTTCTGATTGTGTAAACTCATCTTGAAATTAGGCTGGAAAAAAAATCTGTTAAATTTCAGAAAAAAAGACTTTGCTTTTCAAAAATGGCTTAAATTTAGCATTATTCAAAAGTTTCAATCCTAGCCGGGTGTTGGTGGCGCACGCCTTTTAATCCCAGCACTCAGGAGGCAGAGGCAGGCGGATCTCTGTGAGTTCAAGGCCAGCCTGGTCTACAAAGTGAGTTCCAGGACAGCCTCCAAAGCCACAGAGAAACCCTGTCTCGAAAAACCAAAAAAAAAAAGAAAAAAAAAAAAAAAAAAGAAAAAAACCCAAAAGTTTCAATCCTTTAACATATCATTTAAATTTGTTTTGTTTTCAAGACAGGGTTGTCTGTGGTTTTGGAGGCTGTCCTGGAACTAGCCCAGAATTAGGCTGGCCTCAAACTCATAGAGTTAAAGCTTGTACCACCATTCCCAGCTAAAAACACCTAAGGATCACTTGGCTATCTTGGGGAATGTCCTGGGTTGTATCTGCCCACTTCCCAAGTGAAGGGAGGGAGGAGACAGACAGACATACAGATACTGAAATCTTGCTGGTAACACATAATATTTGTTTATTTAGAGATTTGTAACTAATGTTAAACTGATTATTAGAACATCTTTATTTTAGAAGCAAGTGAAATAATGCTTGGAGACTTCTCTGAATTGAAGAGGACTGTGTACAATGTTGTTTTATTTACAGATTACTGTTCAGTTTATGAGTAGTTGCTAGTGAATGAAGTTATTAATCTTTGAATGCTGCACTATTAAGGATAAGATAGATACATCAGAACTGTCTGCAACACTATTTTAGACAATTCCCTGGGGCGTGCACTGCAGCTTTAGTAGTAGAGTGTGTGTCTGCCATGCTTGAGGCCCTGAGCTCCATCCTCAGCACCTGAACAAACAGAGGCACAGGCCTGGGATAAGGTTACTGACACAGTGCTTGCCTAGCATGTGCAAGGTGCTGGCTTCAGTTCCCATCCCCAGTGTTTGAAAACAGAGTCTTGCTGTGTGCAGTTCTGACTGGCCTGGAACTTGATCTGTACAACATGCTGGCTTCAAATTAGCAGCAATCTTCCTCCCCTGCCCCTACCTCCCAAGTGTGGGGATTATAGGCATACAACCAGCTTTAACAATTCAGTTTTTAAAATCACTGTAGAGTTTAATTGATAGCTTAGCCAGGCGTGGTGGCTCAAGCCTTCTGGAGGCAGAGGTGGATCTGTGGGAGTTGGAGGCCAGTCTAGTCCACATAGTTCCCAGCCAGCCAGGACTACGTAGTAAGACCCTGTCTAAAAAAAGAGAAAAAAATTAACAGCTTAAAGAAAGAGAAGTACATTACAAGAAAGTTAATGATTGGAATAATGACAAACTCCAAGCATATTCGAAATACTTCCAGTTTAAATTTAATTTTATTAAAATGAATAAGAAATTAAAGTTTGACAAATACAATATTAGGTATCAAAAGTGTTTAGTACAACACAGTGCTTTCGAGATAGCAGTGCACACTGCTAGTGGAGTATTAATAAGACTTGCAGTAAGCACAGAGGCTGTCAAAGGCATACACAAATCTGCAACCATATGATTGAGTACTATTTACATAAGGATGCTGACCTTGCCAATAATCCCATAAATAGGGTAGTGTTGATTTCTTAGACGTAAAATAGTTCTGCCATTACACCTTCTCCTGGGCACCTCATGCTGGCTCTGCTCTCCAAAGGTGAGCAGTTGCCTTAGCAATAAAGTCCTGGAGGCACAAACAGAGTCAGCCCAGGATAAGGGACTTCTAAGCAGCTGCTGAGTAGTGCTGAACTTAGCTGCTGGAACTCTCAGAAACTGTCACTTACTGACTGAGGGGACAGAGGGCATCATCCACAACAGTGTGAAGGAACTCTATGGCTTCACACGGTTAAAGCAGTCATCACAAGATATAAACTTCAGTTTCTAAAATAAGTAGCAACATGTTGTGTCTACAGAAACAATAATGAGCAATGTAGCGATGTAAAAGGAAAATCCACGCTATAAACCAATACCATAGGAGGTCAAGGGTTTCACTGCAAAAAGGAAAAGGCATCCTGGGGTTCAGGGTTTTCAGTGATCATGGAGACTGATCTGGTTTGGAGAGAGACAGGAGAAACTGTTTGTCTGGTGGAAAATTGGCCCAGTGTTTTTATACACGTTTCTTTTTTTTTTTTTTTCTCTCTTTTTTAGTTTTACAAGACAGGGTTTCCCCATGGCTTTGGAGGCTGTCCTGGAACTCACAACAGAGACCAGACTGGCCTCGAACTCGCAGAGATCCGCCTGCCTCTGCCTCCCTGGAGCTGGGATTAAAGGCATGCACCACCAACGCCCGGCTGGCCCAGTGTTCTAGTTAGTTCTAGTGTTTTAGTCTACTTGTTTTCTTTCTTTCTTTCTTTCTTTCTTTCTTTCTTTCTTTCTTTCTTTCTTTCTTTCTTTCTTTCTTTCTCTCTTTCTTTCTTTTTTTTTTTCTTTTTTTGGGACAGGGTTTCTCTGCATTGTTTTGGAGCCTGTCCTGGCACTCACTTTGTAGATCAGGCTGGCCTCAAACTCACAGAGATCCACCTGTCTCTGCCTCCCTCATGCTGGGATTAAATGCATGTGCCACCAGCGCTCAGCATTAGTCCACTCATTTTCCTTTTTCTTTTTGGTTTTTCAAGACAAGGTTTCTCTGTGGCTTTGGAGGCTGTCTTGGAACTAGCTACTAGCTCTCGTAGACCAGGCTGGTCTAGAACTCACAGTGATCCACCTGCCTCTGCCTCCCAAGTGCTGGAATTAAAGGCATGTGCCACCACTGCCCGGCTAGTCTACTCATTTTCAAATGTTCCTTTTTTTTTTGTGGTTTATCAGACTGCCTGCTACTTAACCATCTGAACAATGCTTCCTTTAATTTAATGTCCCTCTTTACAACTCAAAGTCACTTTATTTTTGATGACAAATGTACTCTACAAAATCAACTGGATCACTAAATTTTGGAAACAGCAGATTTGTTTCCAAATTTATTTTATCTATTAACAATTAAATGAATAAACTTGTTAATTTACTTTTTAGAGATAGAAAAAAAAATGAACCTGGCAGTGGCAGCATAACCTTTAATCCCAGTACTTGGGAGGCAGAGGCAGGCAGATCTCCGAGTTTGAGGCCAGCCTAGTCTACAGATTGAGTTCCAGGACAGACAGGGCTATGCACAGAAACCTTGTCTTGAAAAACAAACAAAAAGAAAGAAAAGAAAAAAATGCTATCTACTGTAGTCATAGGCTAATTTGTTTTTCAGATCCAAATTCTGGACAAGGGTGAATAATGATCAAGATTAACAAAATTATGTAAATTTGAAAGAATTTACAGCATCGAGTTATGCCAAAAAATGTGCATAGAGTCTTAAATCCAATAAAAGAGACTTTAAATTATCTGGGATTATAGTTCAGCAGCAGAGTGATTATCTAATAAGTGTGATGCTCCAAGTTCAATTCCATGTACAGAAAATAAATTGTTTTAGTTAAAACATGTTACTTTGATAAAAATTCTAAAAACGACTTTAGTGGAGACTTTTGTAATCAAGGAATTAAAACAAACTTCACATTGACACATTTCTAAGAAAATGAAAATATCTTTTAGAAAAAGATTTATATTTACTCTATGTGTATGGGTGTTCTGCCTGGATGGATAGATAGATTTGTACCATGTATATGCTTGCACAGCCAGAAGGAGGCATGGGATTCCTTGGAACTGGAGTTTCAGATGGTTTTAAGTTGCTATGTAGGTTTTGGGGACTGAACCCAAGTTCTCTGTAAGAGCAGTCAGTAGCCCCATAAAATGAAATTATCTATTTATCAAAAACTTTAGAGCTAGGTATGGTGCTAAAAACCTTTAATCCCAGCACTCAAGAGGCAGAGGCAGGTGATCTCTGTGAGTTCGAGGCCAGTCTGGTCTACAGAGTAAGTTTCCAGACAGCTACGGGTATGTGGAGAAACTGAGTCAAAAAATGAAAATAAATAGAAAATAAAAATAAATAAGTATAATCATTAAAATTCTGTTCATACTAACATTTGATTTTTTTTAAGGATTATGTCGCCAGGCATTGGTGGCACATGCCTTTAATCCCAGTACTTGGGAGGCAGAGGCAGGTGGATCTCTGTGAGTTCGAGGCCAACCTGGTCTACAGAGCAAGTTCCAGGACAGTCTCCAAAACAATACAGAGAATCCCTGTCTTGAAAAACAAAAAACAAAAATAAAAAACAAAAACCAAAAAAACTTGAAATTACTAGTGTTTTGAGAAGTAAAAATAGTAATATTTCCAAAGTGGGAATATTGGAGACAGGAAAAATCAAATGCTCTGAGGTGTTACTTTGCATTCTGGTATTTGCTGTTACAACAGGCTGCCGAGGTTAATTGTTACAGATCAATTCTTCAACTGACCAGAAGAAAATGAATGAGGTTTATAACAGTAAGAATGTTTCTCCCAAATCTTCAAATAAACTCTGAAGGAAAAAAATTTTCCCAATAGTGGAATTATAATTGGATAACAAAAAGACAATTGATTTTTTGATCCTCTCATATTGAAAGTTTTATCACAATTTTTAAAAATTTATCCACAATTTTCACTGCTTCTCAGTCCTATCAAATTTTCAGAGCCTGTTTGTTAAAATTCATGGATTTTCTTTACACCCTGCCACTGAAGGTAATTTCCTTATCCCCCAGTGTTCTGAGGAGAAGGGCAGCCCTGAGAAGTCCTGTGGGAAGGTGACAGTGAACTAGGATCCAGCTCAGTGGTGAAGTGCTTGCTTAGCGTGTACAAAGCCCTGCATTTGACTGGAGGGGAGGGGCTGGAGAAGAGGAAGCAAGAGCTCTAGAGGCCCCTGCACTATAGCTACACTCACAGCAAGTGGAGGTGAGGGTAGGTAGCAGGCCTACTGAATGGGCTTAGAGTTCCCTGGGATCCACAGACACTTTCTCTCCCCTGTCTCCATCTCCTCTCTCTTTGGCTACTCTAACCATGTGTGCTTTTAGTTCCCATCGTCAAATCCCACTTTCTGGGACAGGCAGAAAAGTCTTATCAAGAAGGGGGATTACTTGTGAAGATTATTCTGGCAGCAGCAGAACTATTTATTTTCATTATGTTTTTCTTCTGCTTGCAATTCTCTGCTCTAATCCCCAGGGAAGCTACAAGATGATTCCATTATCTGAGGACTATAGCTCACATACACACACCTTCCTCTATTTATAGATCTTTTGTATGATTGTCTTGCAGGAAATATATGTATATGTGTCTATATGTATAAAAATATACATATATATGTATCCACACATACTTATTTTGGATTTTTTTCTGTTAGTTCATCCAAAATATAAATGAAATATAAGACTTATTTTGTAACCAAATGCTAAGAAGGAGGTAAAGAATGTGACTTACATAATGCACATTCTAAAACACAGTATTACAAAAACATTTGGGCCATATTTGCTCAGCCCAAGCGAAGTGAACAGATAGCACTAGTTCACAAAAGTGAATCTGTTCTAGGTAAAGCTAAATTAGCTCTTGCTTCAAAGAACCACACGAATAGGTTGAGTTGGCTGCAGATACTTGCACAGTTAACATTCTGTTTTGGTTTGATGTTGAGTTTACTAAGACCTGGAGAGATAGAACTGTTTCCCAGAAAAGCAGGAACACATTCTTGGGGTTGCAGGTTATTTTACATTAATCAAGGTGAAGCAGTTACAGCTAAAATCCTGTGCAGCTGGAGTTCCTGGATAATTAGATTATCAAAAGTCCAACAGGTGCTACCCTTGGACGTGAAAAAGCGTCACTCTCCTAAGCGCTAGTCTGGTGACACATTCTTTAAGTGACAAGCTTCTTGATTTAGGAAGAGGAGGCATTCATGGTCAAATATAGCACCTCCTTATGGAAGTTCGCCTGAGCATGAAGAAGATGGAACAAATTCAGGAAGCCTCTGTCATCATCATCTCGCTCTCCTGTAACATACACAGGAACAGCAGGGAGAGGGAGAAGTTAGACATTTTAACACACGGCTTAGGAATGTAAGATGTAAGTGTTTCTAATAATATTTAAAGAGAGGAATTTTTGTCGATGGTCTTTATTAAGCCAGGCATTAACCATTAAAGCCATGAAATTAAACACTAAATAAGAAAGGACACTAGTCTAAGCTTGAGTATTGTTTAATTTATGACCATGGGCAAGTTTGGTTATTTCTGTTTCCTTTTTCTCATCTATAAAACAGGGTTAATTAGAAACTGGAGAGGTGGCTTGTTGGTTAAAATCACCAGCCAGTGCCTTTTTACAGAGGACCCTAGTTTGATTCTCTGTACCCGTATAGTGGCTCATAACCATCTGAAACTCCCGTTCCAAGGGATCCAACACCCTCTTCTGACCTCTGCGGGTATCAGGCATGCACATGGTGGACAGACATACATGCAGGCAAAAGAAAATAACAGCAAAAGTCAGGCGGTACATATCTTTAATCCCAGCACTTGGGAGGGAGAGGCAGGTGGATCTCTGTGAGTTCCAAACAAAGATTTTGTGAACTAAATTACTATCTGTTAAAACCTATATAAGGCCCAGTGTGGTGGCACATGTCTTTTTTTTTTTTTTTTTTTTGGTTTTTCGAGACAGGGTTTCTCTGTATTGTTTTGGAGGCTGTTCTGGAACTCACTCTTGTAGGCCAGGCTGGTCTCGAACTCACAGAGATCCGCCTGCCCCTGCCTCCTGAGTGCTGGGATTAAAGGTTTGCACCACCACTGCCCAGCTGGTGGCACATGTCTTTAGTCTCAGCATTTGGAAGGCAGAGGCAGTTGGCTATCAGTGAGTTTGAGGCTAGCCTGGTCTACACAGAGAGTCCCAGGTCAGTCAAGACTACAGAACTTCAGAAAGAGAGAGAGAAAAAAAAGAAAGAGAGAGAGAGCGAGAGAGAGAGCGAGCCTGTCTCAAAAAACCAAATTCCCGGATAGGGTTTCACTGTGTAGCCCAGGCTGGCTCAAACTTCAGATCTCCTGCTCAGCCTCAAGTACTGGGATTATAGGTGTGCACTACCAAGCCCAGCTAGTTGCATCTGAGGCTAAGACCTGAAGGCACTATCACTCTCTCCCATGTACTGTCTACACTCTTACCAGACATAATAGGCTGCAGCATTTCCATGGTGACACAGGCAAAGGCATTTGCCACGCTCTGCAGGAAGCCCTTTCTCTCTGCTGCAGCGCTGAAGACCTTGCAGACTTTTTGCATCATTCTAACTGTCCAGTCCATGCAGTACAGCTCTTTCTCACACACCTAATTCAGATGCACAAAACACTACTATCAGTCTTCATGTGAAGAAAGCTATAAAGCTTAAAATGGCAGTGACAATGACAGTTTATGATTTAGCAATTTATTACATAGGGCAGGCTTATGATGTAGCATGGTTTATTGCATAGGATATCCCAACTGAGCCTGCAAATGGGAAATTTCCAGTAAATGAATAAAATGGAGTGTGATGGCACATGCCTGTAATCCCAACACTCAAATTCAAGATCACCTTTGCCTACACAATGAGTGAGTTTGGGGCCAGTCTGGGCTGTATATAACTCTGTCTCAAAAACCAAAAACAAATAAATAAATTATATACTTTAATACTTATTTGTAAAACAGTAAAACAATATAAACCTCAGTGTGTGTGTGTGTATGAGAGAGAGAGAGAGAGAGAGAGAGAGAGAGGGAAAGAGAGAGAGAGAGAGAGAGAGAGAGAGAGAGAAAGAGAGAGAGAGAGAGATAGACAGATAGACAGACAGACTTCGGCCTTTGTAAGCACCAGGGAAGCAGCTCCATTGCTCGATCAAGTGAATGCTAAATAACTTGTCAGAAAAAAACTTAGTTTTTACTTACCAAAGCCAAAAAGACTATGAGCCTTGCTAACTCAATGGCCCGTCCATTCACAGCTTTACTAGCCATGAAAGTGAAGCAGATGTTGTTCCCACTCAGGATTAGGAGGCGTGCATTATTCTCCAGAAGCCACTCCCGGGGAACCACTTTTAATAGAGGAAGAGCAGTGATTGAATGAGAAATTACACAATTGCTGTAGTAAACATCTTTAAACACATTCAATATTATATTACTCTATTGGAAATGTAATTAGTGCCAAGGGAAATATTTACAAACACTGTTTTAGGTTTGTTCTTTCTTTTCTTTTTGAAACAGGTTTTCTTTGTGTATTCCTGGCTGTCCTGGAACTCACTCTATAGACCAGGTCAGCCTGCCTCTGCCTCATGAGTGTTGGATTAAAGGTTTGCACCACTATGTCTGGCATATTTTAGTTTTTTAATTACAGTATTCAACCAGAGATAGGGGTCACCCCCAGGTCATTGTGCTTTACCACTGTGCTGATAGGTTAGTCAAAGCAGTTCTTCCACACATGCTTCAGCAGGCAAAGTGACATCATATGTAAGGATAAAGCCTTTGTAAACTTCAGAGTAACTGTTTAATCCTCCTCCCATACATACAGCAGAAGGCTTTCTTTTTATATAATCTAGAAGGGTATGTATGTATGAGAACTTGTAAAAATGAAAGTAAGCAAACTCATTAAATTACGAACGGACTAATAATATTACATATTTATGAAATTGGGAATTGAATCCCTCCTGGGGAACCAATGGCTCTTGATGGGTGCTATGGGAGTGGGAGCCTTTGTGTTCAGTGTGTACCCACTGGTGAGTCTACCAGGCTCCAAGGGGCAGTTCCACACCCATGGTCATGTGGACAGCCATGGTTAAGGTTAGTGGGTCACAAAACAAAACAAAACAAAAAGACATGACAGAGAGGAGGAAGAGGAGAGTTTATGGGAGTGGGAGGGAGTAAGAGAGGATGAAGAGCAAGAGAAATCAGAATGTATTATATAAATGAAATTGCCAAAGGAAAAAAATTTAATTTAAACCACTGAAAATTGAGATAAAGATAAACACATTCTTATATCACATGTATTTACATACTCTACATACATACACACAAATACACAAAATACAAAACTAAAATGTTTTGGAGCAGTAAGTAACAAAATATACTTAAAACTACATATTGATCAATTAGTGATTTCTAACACACTCATTGTTACCTACAAAATTGTTTATATAACTTTATAGCTGCATTCTAGTAATATATTTCTATTATTCCATATCAGTAAATATGTATTTTACCTGATAGTTCATCTACAAGACTGATAACATCATCTGCTGTCCACTCTTTGGTACCTGTGTCATACAGTAACTTAATGGCATTAGCCAAACCTTTCAGACTGGATTCATCTGTGGGTCCCTCCACCATTTCTTGCCAAATCACCTGCCCTGGATTAAAACAAAAAGTAGGCTAAGACAGAATAGATAGTTTTGTGATAAAGACTTCAAGGATTTGTTAGAATGAAAAGGATTAAACAATCCCATTACTTATATAAACTACATTCATCATTAAAATGTCAATTCTGATATTATAAATTTGAGTTTCTCATTAACTATGATGAAACACAGCAACAATATTTAAACCAAGTAATTAAAGGAGTTTGAACATGAAGAGCATGCTTTTGTGACTCTTCCTGAGGAGCTTGTACCCATGCTTTGGTAGGTCTTCCTTTCAACAATTCTTTGTAAAGCTCACACCCATGTTGTCATGTTACTTCCTTCTGAGAAAGAGTTCTCTTAGGTTTCTGCTTAGGCCTATATTAACATACATTTTTTTTGTTGTTTTTTCGAGACAGGGTTTCTCTGTATTGTTTTGGAGGCTGTCCTGGAACTCCCTCTGTAGACCAGGCTGGCCTCGAACTCACAGAGATCCACCTGACTCTGCCTCCCAAGTAACATACATTTTTAATTTAATTTTTGTTACTGGGGCTTACACAGGTTTTGTTTTATATTATTGTATGAGTATGAATGTTTGCCTACATATATATCTATGTAACATGTGTGTGCCCAGTGCCAGCAGAAGTCAGAAGAAGGTGTTGGATTCTCTAGGATGGAAGTTACAGAGGGTTGTGAGCTATCATGTGGGTGCTGGGAACCAAACTTAGGTCTTTTGGAAGAGCAGCCAGTGCTCTTAGTCACTGAACCATCTCTCCAGACCTTTATATTAACAATCCTTATTTATTTATTTGGTTTTCTGAGACAGAGTTTCTCTGTATTGTTTTGGAGGCTGTCCCAGAACTTGCTCTATAGACCAGACTGGCCTCGAACTCCTAGAATTTTGCCTGCCTCTGCCTCCTGAGTGCTGGGATTAAAGGCGTGAACCACCAATGCCCATCATAACAATCCTTATTAAGCTCCAATTCTGCTTCATAAAAAAGAACAGTGCTTTTATCTATTTATTATTTATCTTTTTCAAATGTAAGTGTGTGCATGTGGAGGTCAGGGTGTCACTCCTTAGGAATTATTCACTTTTTTATTTTTATTTTTGAGACAGAGTCTTTTTCTTTTTTTTTTTTAGACAGGGTATTTGTGTACTCCTATCTGCCCTGGAACTCACTTTATACACCAGGCTGGCCTTGAACTCAGAGATCTGCCTGCCTCTGCCTCCTGAGTACTGGGATTAAAGGCCTGCGCCACCACCACTCATTGAGACAGAGTCTTTCATTGAGATCTGGGGCTTGCTTATCAGGCTAAAATGGCTGGGAGCCCTAGAGATATGCCCACTGCTGCATCCTCGGTGCTGGGATTACAAGTACAAACCACCACACCAGCATTTACCTAGATACTGGGGATCAAAGTTTGTTCTTCATGTTTGCACAGCAAGCAAATTACCTACTGAACTATCTCCTGGCCTCAAAGAATAGTGCTTTTAGTTCAAAGATGATATTACCCTATAATACAGACTGGAAAATCAGTTGCTACAATTTTTTTTTTTTTTTTTTTTTTTTTTTTTGGTTTTTACGAGACAGGGTTTCTCTGTATTGTTTCAGAGGCTATCGGTCCAGCCCGGCCTCGAACTCACAGAGATCCGCCTGCCTCTGCCTCCCGAGTGCTAGGATTAAAGGCATGCGCCACCACGGCCTGGCCAATTGCTACAATTTTAAATCAAGTAAAATCTACCGAATCCTTCTAGAAAGGAGCTTGCTTCTATTAGCATCTTTCTTTTTCCTCTTTTCTTTTTTCTTTTCTTTTTTTCTTTCTTTTTTTTTTCAAGACAGGGTTTCTCTGTGGCTTTGGAGGCTGTCCTGAACTAGCTCTTGTAGACCAGGCTGGTCTTGAACTAACAGAGATCTGCCTGCCTCTGCCTCCCAAATGCTGGGATTGAAGGTGTGCGCCACTACCGCCCAGCTGTGAAGCATCTTTCAAACATTTGTATCACAACAGAGCAGTTTAGTCACCTTCTATTTGTTTATCTATCTCCAATCTTCTCTGTGGTTTATACACAATATTTTAATTTCAAAATAAAAGTCCTGGCTGCTAGTCAATATGGGTTAAAACTGGTTATCTACTGATAAAAGTAGAGTAAGGAAATGTAAGATAATTTTTAACATTAATCTAAACACAACCTAGGCAAAAATTTTTTTTAAGTCAGATTATGAACCTGAAAACCTAAAACTAAGTAAATTATTAATTTGGGCTACTGTTTTGTTGCTTAGCATCATTAGTCCCTTCCACCAGGAAACATAACCTTGAGTTACATTAATGTTTAAGATGGAAAAGTGTAGGGAGAAACCTAGGTACCTGTGCCGCTGACCATGCCTGTTTTGGGTGTGGCTACAGGTGTGTAGGGGTATTTGGGATAAAGGGCTGAGGAGACACTCACTCTCTCTGGGTTCCGGTCAGGTCTCAAAAGGCTGCAGGACTAACCTGGGTTTTCAGTTTTCTCATATAAGTAATTTCTCACAATAAATAACCAACAATATCCTTATCCCGTGTTCTGTTACATTTTCCTCAACAAAAAAGCAACACTTTTAGGTGAATAAGAGATGACAGGAGTTGGGCAGTGGTGGCCCTTGCCTTTAATCCTAGCACTTGGGAAGCAGAGGCAGGCAAACCTGTGAGTTTGAGGCCAGTCTGGCCTCCAGAGCAAGTTACAGGATAGCCAGGGCTACAAAGAAACCCTGTCTCAAAAAACAGAGAGAGAGAAAGAGATAAAGAGGTAGAGAGAGGGGGAGGGAGATAGATAGGGAGGGAGAGAGAGAGAGAGAGAGACAGAGACAGAGAGAGAGAGAGAGAGAGAGAGAGAGATGGATGACAGGAATATACCTGATTCTGACTCAGAGCAGAAGAATTTGCACAAGTCAATGCAATATGTTTCTGAAACCGTGAGTAAAGGCAAAAGACCTTCCTGCGACATGGCTCAGTGGGTAAAGGTGTTCGCTGTCAACCTGGAACCTGAAGTCCATCTCAGAATCCCACAGTATAAAGTAAAAAGTGATTCCTGAAAGTTGACTTCCACAGACATGCCATATTACACATGTATGTGCATGTACACACACACAAAATAAATAAATAAATAAACAAACAAATAAATAAATGGCATTTATTTATTTTTGAGACAGTCTTACTATGGTGGTGTGAATAGGTATGACCCCCAGAGACTCATGTTTAAATGCCCATAGGGAGTGGCACTATGAAGAGGTGTGGCCTTGTTGGAGGAAGTGTGTCACTGAAGAGGCAGGCTTTGAAGTCTTAAATGCTCAAGCTATGGCTGTGTGCAACACAATTCACTTCCTCTGCTTGAGGATCAAGATATAGAATTCTCAACTCCTTCTCCAGTACTATGTCTGCCTGCATGCCACCTGCCATGATGATAATGGACTAAACCTCTGAAACTGTAAGTCAGCCCCAATTAAATGCTTTCCTTTGTAAGAGTTGCCATGGTCATAGTATCTCTTCATAGAGATAGAACCCTAACTAAGACCCTTACTATGTATCTCTGACTGGTATGGAACTCTATCTGTTGGAATGTGGTTCAAGAATGGAGTCATATTAGGAGAATTCTGAGTGCTTGTGAGAAAACTCCAAGAAAACAAGCAAGTATCTCAGTTTCTTCAAAGACATGAAATTGTTCTTGGAATGTGTTTTCATGCTCTTCCCAGGTGTAGATGACAGGAGTAGGCTTACTTTAGATTATTCTTTACAGTTGGCAATTGTTATTTGTTTATATGTCTCTATGGAAAAACATGTTTTTGCCATGTGTGACTTGCCCTTATGATTGGACACTTGATTCCTGTGCCTCTTCTTCTTCTTCTTTTTTTTTTTTTTTTTTTTTTTTTTTGATTTTACGAGACAGGGTTTCTCTGTTTTGGAGGCTGTCGGTCCAGCCTGGCCTCGAACTCACAGAGATCTGCCTGCCTCTGTCTCCCGAGTGCTGGGATTAAAGGCGTGTGCCACCAACGCCCAGCTCTCCTATGCCTCTTCTTAACCCTCAGAGTTGTATTGTCTGATGGTCTGAATAAAGTTGGCTATTGCATGAGACTTTAGTCTGCCTCATTTTTAGGCTCTATTCTTCCAGGTCCCACTGCCTCTAGAGTGGTAAAAAGATGTAAAATAGCCTGGCTTTGAACTCACAGAAATCTACTGCCTCTACCTCCTGAGTGCTAGGATTAAAAGTGGGCATCAACCAGTAATTTTTTTAAAAGCCTTCCTAAAGCAAAAGTAATTAACCAGGTTTATAACACACTGAAAAAAATGGTGCTTACCATCTTGAGGAGATATTGGTCCAAAGATAATATAAAGCAATCTTGCCTGATTTACCATTGGCCATGGTTTTAATATTCTAGTCAACCAAAATGCAGAATCACTTCGTTGTGTCCAGTGATCAAGTAGGACATTCCTACAGAACAGTCTAATCCTTAACTCTAGTTTCCGAGCACTTCCTATGAAGAAAAAGTTGTAAAGTTGCATACTGGATAGTGATCAGAGTCAGGTATTAGCAGCTGCAGTTAAAAGAGCAATGAACTGAGTATATAAACAGGAAGTCACTAAGAAGGAAAAGATAACCTAACTTTACAGTTTGACTATCTTATCATGCTTATTTTCCTTATTTAGCTTCAGCAATTTGGATAATGGTAGAAAGAACAATACGTCCAAGTCAAACTAAAATAGTGGACAGTAAGTTTGATAATTTTTGAGACAGACTCTATGTAGCCCTGGCTATCCTGAAACTCAGTATGTAGACCAGCCTGGTCTCAAACTCACAGAGATTCATTGGCTCTGCCTTTTGAGTGCTAGGATTAAAGGCCTACACCACCACACTCATCAGTCAATGAGTTTGAAAAAGTAGGTGGGGACCACACTCTGAAGGCTAGTTTATATAGCTTAGATTTTATTTTTAATATGTTAGGAAGCTAACAGAAGTTTTTGATCAAAGGAAAAGCATATTAAATTGTGTTATCAAGTCATTGGATTTCTAAATCTGCCTTTTCCAGGAGGTTGAGGCAGGAGAATTGTCAATTTGACGCTAGAATAGACTACATATTAAGTTGGAGTACAGTCTGTGCCACATAGTGAGACTCTTGGTGCTAGGGATGTAGCTCAGTGGTATATCCTACATCATCAATAACCCAGGTTCAATCCTCAGTAGGAAAGAAACATAATGAGACTCTAAATAGGCAAGTACATAAATAAATCTGCCTTTTTATTCATCAATTTTGGGGGCAGAAGATTTTCAAGACAGAGTTTCTCTGTGTGTAGCTTGGCTATTCTAGAACTCACTCTGTAGACCAGGCTGGCCTTGAACTCAGACACCTGCTTGCCTCTACCTCCCAAGTGTTGAGATTAAAGGTGTGCACCACCACTGCCAAGATCTTCACTTTTTTCATATAGTGAAATGTTTCAAGTTCATAGTAAAGTAAAAATACAACAACAAACACAGTATACAAATCAAAGCAAGTAGTTTAGTCAAAGTTTTACATCTTTCTATGTTTAAAAATAAATATTAAAAATGTTAAGTTGCTTTTGACTCACTCAGTTGACCAGGTTGGCCTCAAACTCACAGAGATCCAACTGCCTCTGCCTCCCTAGTGTTGGGATTAAAGGTGTGTGCCACCAACACCCAGCCAAATGTTGAGTTTTTAGTTTATCAGTTCCAATTACTTTCCCCAGAAGAATCACCATCTTGGATTTGGGGTTTGTCTCTGCCCCTTCTATGTTAGTCAGGGTTCTCCAGAGAAACAACCAATATGAAGCAGATCACATTCATATGATATCCCAGTTTCTGTGGTGCTGGAATTAATTAAAGACAATGGCCACTACCAACTGAGCTATAGCCCTTCTACAACTTGTTTTACATATACTTTTGAACTCTACTTATTCTTAACATTTCATCTCTATACAATACTATCTTTGAACTGAAGGTCTTTACCTGGTTTGTTACAGACAACAGTCTGCATCTTACGGGAGAGATTAGTCAGCTCACATAAGAAGTTATAAACACGATGGCACTCCAGTTCATCCCAACCTGCTGTTAAGGTCTGAGGAAAACAGAAGAAGCATTGCACAAGTTCAGATACAAATTGGAAGGGTAAGTCACTACTTCCTAATGAAAATAGGCTGTTTATAGTATACGATCTAGGTGATGTGCAATTTTTACCCTCAATTCACAAGAAATTTGTATAATCACAACTTAGAAATTCTCCAAAATCTATCTTGCTTCTTTTTGGCTAGGAAGAAAGTTGTTTTTGTTTTGTTTCCTTTAAGATCGGGTCTCTCTATGTAGCCCTGGCTGTCCTAGAACTCAGTATGTAGCCCAGGCTGGCCTCAAAATCAGAGATCTGCTTGCCTCTCCCAAGTTCATGTGCCATCAACACCCAGCAAATTTTTAAGTTTTTATAAATTTATTTTTATTTATGTATGTATCTCTATTAGGCTATGCCACATGTTGAAGGTGCTGTGGAAGCCAGAAGAGTTGGGACTAAAGGCAATTGTGAGCTGCCCTGATGTGGTGCTGGGACCAAACTTGGGTGTTCTGCAAGAACATCAAGTAAGCCGGGCGTTGGTGGTGCACACCTTTAATCCTAGCACTCGGGAGGCAGAGGCAGGCGGATCTCTGTGAGTTCGAGACCAGCCTGGACTACCAAGCGAGTTCCAGGACAGCCTCCAAAGCCACAGAGAAACCCTGTTTCGAAAAATCAAAAAAAAAAAAAAAAAAAAAAAGCAACATCAAGTATTCCTGGCTGATGAACCATCTCCATAGCCTTCTCAGTTTGGACATCTCTCACTACTGTCCTACGAGTGGCCTCAAACCCTAGATCTGTCTGCAGCAAGTCTGAGTAATGGGATTCTAGTCCTGGTTTTGTGACTCAATTTTTAAACTTAAATAAAATCAAACTAAATGAAAGCAATTATTAATTTATTTTTATGTATGTATGTGGTATGGGAGTGTATGTGACCACAGAGGCCACACACACAGGGATGTCGGTGTCTTCCTCTACATGCTCCTACATGTTATCTGCAAACTTAGAATTTGTAGTTTTTGGCTATGTTGGCAGTCAGTAAGCCCCATGGATAGGATTACAGGTCACCATGGCAATGGGAGCTTTTTTCTCGGGTGCTGGGGATTTGAACCTGGGTCTTCACACTTACATATCCAGTATTCTTACCTACTGGACCATCTTTAGGCCTCTGTGACTTGGTTTTACAGTAGACTGTCTAAGACTTTTATACCTGTAATTTTGATATTGTTTACAAATGATAATGATCTCATGATCTCCCCCACCCCCCACTTTGGTTTTTCGAGACAGGGTTTCTCTGTGTAACAGGCCTGGCTGTCCTGAAACTTGCTTTGTAGACCAGGCTGGCCTCAAACTCACTGAGATCTGCCTCCCTGTGCCTCCTGAGTGCTGGGATTAAAGGTGTGCACCATCACTACCCCACTAATAATGATCTCATTTTATTTTATTTTAATGATTGATTTATTTTTATTTTATGTTCAATGATGTTTTGCCTGCATGTCTGTCTGTGTGAGGTTGTAGATCCAGACAGTTGTGAGCTGTCATGTGGGTGCTGGGATTTGAACCCCAGACCTCTGGAAGAGCAGTCAGTGCTCTTAACCACTGAGTCATCTCTCCAGCCCAATGATCTCATTTTAATGTAATAATTGATTATAACTTGCTTGTTTTTTAATAAATGAAAAAACAGACAAAATTTAATAACTATCTTGAACATATAAAAATGTACAAACATAAAAATGAGATTTAAGTAACATACAAATTATATAAATTCATTAATTATGTACTTTATTCATTTATTCTTGGACAAGGTCTCACTATGCAACCTTGGCTGGCCCAGAAGTCATTAGGTATACCAGGCCAGCCTCTGTCTCTGCCTTCAGAGCACTGGAATTAAAGGTGCGTACCACCATTCTGAGCCCTTCCTCCCCATATAAAGTACTGTAAAGTACCTGGTTTCAGTGGTTATCTTCTGAGACAGTGAGATGGCTCATCAAATAAAGTGTACCATCCATCCCACAGGTGGAAGGAGCACTAGCTCCCACCAACTGTCACTCTGATATTACACAAATACAAATGTAAAACATTTTTAGATTTATGTATATAAATGTTTTGCTTGCATATATGTATGTGTACCAAGTGTGTGCCTGATCCCTGACCTTCTACAATTGGAGTTTGGATGGTTATGAGCCACCATATATATGCTGGGAATTGACTCCTGGTCCTCTGGAAGAGCAGCCAGTGCTTATAACTGTTGAGCATCTCTCCAGACCTACACACATTAAAAAATTAATTTTCAATCCCAGCACCCACAATTTAAATTTATTCCTTCTAGAATGAGAGAAGTTGCTAAGCAGTGATTATTTCTGGTGAAAGGAAATCAGTAGATGGGAGACAAACCTGGGAGGGAGACATTTTACTTTATATATTTTGTTCCTTTTGAATTTTACATGAATGCATATCTTAATACTTCATCCAAAGATAGAAAGTATAAAACAAACGGAAAAAAGTAAAAAGTCTGTTTTGAAAGAGTGTTAGTAGGAAGTCCTAGAATCTCGGTGCATAGCAGCCGGTGGCTGGCAGCCTGGGATAGAGCAGAAGATTCTTTGTGCAGGCCTGAGGGATGTGCTAAGAACTTAAGGTGGCTTTAAGTTTTCAATCAGATAATTCATGAAGACTGTTTAGGACAGTGTCTGGCACATGGTATAAGGCTTAATAAATGACACTTTTCATTTTTATCTGTTTATAAGATATTAGTAAGTATTCTTGAAATAATAAATTGATTTCTAAAGCACTTGGGAGGCAGAGGCAGCAAATCTCTGTGAGTCTGAGGCCATCTTGGTTTACATAATGAGTTCCAAGACAGCCAGGGCTACATAGAGAAACCCTCACTCAAAAAAGTAAAATAAAATAAAATAATAAACACATGGACACATATACCACCTTTAGTCTCTTAAGTTGGCTAGGAGCTTGGGTTGCAGCTCAGAGACAGATTGCTTACCTAGTATGCCTAACGACCTAGGTTCAATTCCCAGGTCACAAAATAACAAACAAAATGTAAGTACATGTGTAAAGAGTAAATAAATGCTAAGCATTTCTCACTAGTTAGAAAACCAAACATACTCTTAACAATTATTTTGCTTTATGATTATTAGAGCTTCGCCGGGCAGTGGCGGCACACACCTTTCATGCCAGCACTTGGGAGGCAGAGGTAGGAGGATCTTTTGAGACCAGCTTGGTCTACAAGAGCTAGTTCTAAGACATCCTCCAAGCCACAGAGGAAACCCTGTCTCAAAAAAAAAAAAGACTATTAATTGTAGGGTTTCTATACTCTACTTGCTAACAGTTCAAAATCATTCTTTCATTAAATCATTTTTTCATTAAACAATGTACCTGTAAAAACATGCCGTAACATGGTAATCCTAAGCATTGCAAAGGAGCCGAACAGCCACTGAATTTAAAACAGGAAACCTGTAAAGAGAGCAACTATTAGTGGATCTATACAATAACTTGACATTCAGGTTTACTGGAGATATCTTATTTTTGTCGTTGTTGCGTTGTTTTGTTTTGTTTTGTTTTGTTGAGACAGGGCTGGCCTGGAACTCAAAAGATCCACCTGTCACTATCTCCCTCTGCTGAGATTAGTGGTGTGCACTACCATGCCTGGCTACTGGAGACATCTTGAGACAGAGTCTAGCTCTCACTAAATAAAGAAACTTTGCAATAGAGACTATTGCAGAAAACTTCAACAGATCAAAATGCAGAGGAACAAATGATGCCCAGCCCCAACTGATACATCTCCAATACAGTTCTTGTACCAAAGCCTCGGAGATCATCTAGGAAGAAGGGATGGAAAGACTGAGTCAGGGGAACAGGAAGTCTGCTGTGAGAATGTGTTTCCTAGAAATATCAGGGAATCTACACCCATGAAGTCTCATCAGCATGGCTGCCTAAATAACCTGAACAAGGAAGACACTACAAGATATGCTGACATGGAAGGGGGAAATTTCTTGGGGACCCAAATCTAGACAAAAAATGCAACTAAGGAATGCTGAAGCTGGGCATTGGTGGCGCATGCCTTTAATCCCAGCACTCGGGAGGCAGAGGCAGGTGGATCTCTATGAGTTCAAGGCCAGCCTGGTCTATAAGAGCTAGTTCCAGGACAGCCTCCAAAGCTATACAGAGAAACCCTCTGTCGAAAAACTGAAAGAGAGAGAGAGAGAGAGAGAGAGAGAGAGAGAGAGAGAGAGAGAGAGAGAGAGAGAGAGAGAGAGAGAGGGAGGAATGCTGAGAGCAGGAGACCATGGGGAAGACTATTATGATTACTCATCAAGAAGTGGCCAGCCCTGAAATAATTTGTACACAAATAACAATATATGGACTGAGCAGCTGTATTTATATATTTAGGAGTGTATTTGTGTGTGTGTGTGTGTGTGTGTGTGTGTGTGTGTGTGTGTACAGTAGAAGAAACAGGCATGGATTTGAGATAAATAAGGGGTATATGTGAGGGGTTGGGAAGAAAAAGAGAGAAGTGACATGATTTTATTTTAATTTAAGAAATTGTTAATAAAAAGTTAGTGTTGGGCATGGTGGGCACAATCTTGAACCTGGCTCTTGTGAGGCAGAAGCAGGCTAAATCCCCAACATCCATGTAAAAACAGCTGAGTGTGGTAATGTGAACTTGTAACCCCAGTGCTGGGAATGAGTTTGGAGAGGGACAGGTGGGTCTCCAGGGGTTTTAGGTCTGCCAGACTAGATGAAACAGCAAGCTGGAGCTCCTGGTTCAGCAAGAGATGTGTCCAAAACATACGTTGGAGCCAAGTGTGGTTGCATATACTTTTCATCCCAGTACTCAGGATGCAGAGACAAGTCTGACCTCCATGAGTTTGAGGCTAGCCTGGTCTACATAGAGAATTCCAGGCTCCCCAAGGCTACGTAATAAGACCCTGTATCAGAAATCAAAACCCCAAAACAAAAAAACAAAAAAATTCCCATCCCAAAACAAAACAACCCCCCCCAACAAAAGACAAAGTGGAAAGACTTGCTGCTCATGTAGAGGATCTGTATTCACATCCCAGAACCCACATCGTGACTCAATCATCCATAAGCTCCAGTTCCAGAGGAACCTATGCCTTCTTCTGACTTCTGCATTCACCAGGCATGTGCATAGCACACATTCATATGCATAAAAATCTTGAACTCACTCACAGAGATCTACCTGATGCTGGTGTGCACCACCACCACCCAGTCTCTTAGTTGTCACTTTAAACAACTTTGGAGGCTGTGATCAGCAGGTAAGTGCTTGTCTCATAAGCACAAGGACAAAATTCAATTCTGGAACCCATGTGAAGAAGACTGCCAGCTGGGTGGTGGTGGTGGTGTGCGCCTTTAATCCCAGCACTAGAGAGGCAGAGACAGATGGATCTCTGTGAGTTTGATGTCAGCCTGGTCTACAAAGCAAGTTCCAGGACAGCCAGGGCTACACAGAGAAACCTTATCTCAAAAGACCAAAATAAATCACAATATATTTTATTCTGTACAAGAGTAATAGGGCAGTTAGTGAGTATTTTGTAATATTAATTTTATTTATTTTTGTTTGTGGTAGGGTGTGTATACCAGGCTAGCCTTGAACTCAGAGATCTGCCTGCCTCTGCCTCCTAAATACTGGAATTAAAGACATGAGCCATCACTGCCCAGCTTTATTTTTAATTATCTGTATGTGTAAGTATGTTCAGGTGCCTGCAGAGGCCAAAGGTGTGATCACCTGCAGGTGGAGTTACAGAAGGTTGTGAGTTACCCCACTAAGGTATCGGGAACCAAAGTTGAATCCTCTGCAAGAGTAGTATGCACTCTTAACAACTGAGCCATCTCTCCATGTTTTTCCTAAGTGTATGTAACTATGATAAACTTTAGTTTATAAATCTGACATCTGTTTTTGGCTTCCATGGGCACTCATAAATAGAAACACACACATACACACAGTTAAGAAATAAATCCTGATGACAGACTTTGGACACCCCCATGGAGGGCCTCACTCTTCCTGGGGAAATGAGGGGATATTGAAGGGGTTGGTAGGAGGGTGTGGGAGGAGGGGAGGGAAAGGGAGAGGGACCTGGAATTGACATGTGAAGCAACCTTGTCTCTAATTTAAATTTAAAATTAAGCCAGGTGTTGGTGGCACACGCCTTTAATTCCAGCACTCGGGAGGCAGAGGCAGGCAGATCTCTGTGAGTTCGAGGCCAGCCTGGTCTACAGAGCGAGTTCCAGGACAGCCTCCAAGCCACAGAGAAACCCTGTCTCGAAAAACAAAACAAAAACAAAACAAAAACAAAAACAAAAAAATGTAAAATTAAAAAAAAAGAAAGAAGTCCTGTTTTTATAAGATAGGTTTGGAGCTATAAGCCTTTCTTTTAAGATTTCTGTATGTATGAATGTTTTTCCTGCGTGTATGCATATGCATCATGTGTGCCTGGAAGCCAAAAGAAACATCATATCAGCCGGGCATTGGTGGCGCACGCCTTTAATCCCAGCACTCGGGAGGCAGAGGCAGGCGGATCCCTGTGAGTTCGAGGCCAGCCTGGTCTACAGAGTGAGTTCCAGGACAGCCTCCAAAGCCACAGAGAAACCTTGTCTCGAAAAACCAAAAAAAAAAAAAAAAAAAAGGAGGCTTATAAAGAACATATAACATTAGTGATAAGTTATCTTTACTGGAAAACAGGAATGTGAACTAATTCTGGCATATGCTCTTACTTCTGAGAGGATCTTGTGAATGTACTTTAGTCTGTCCTTGGTGGGAAGCAGCAAGGTGCATCTTTTAAATAGTAGACCTGAGAAAGGACAGGGACATAAAAAAAGTGACAACAATGAAATTAATTAAACTTATCAACAGCATAGTGTAGCAGGCTGTTTCGGACCACCAGTCCCCAAATCATGACACAGAGACTTATTATTAGTTATGAATGCTCAGCCTTAGCTTATGCGTGTCCCATTAGCTCTTATAACTTATTTTAACCTGTTTCTCTTCATCTGTGTTTCGCCTCAGGGCTTTTTACCTTTCTATATGTCTTATTTTCCTGTTTCTTCCATGTCTGTCTGTCTGGCAGTGGCCTGACTAGCCCCAGCCATCTCCCTCTTTTTCTTCTTTTGTGTTCTCTTTCTCCCCTAGATTCCTCTTCCTATTTATTCTCTCTGCCTACCAGACCTGCCTATCCCTCTTCTATCTATCTATTGGCCATTGTGTTTTTTATTAGATCAATCAGGTGCTTTAAGTAGGCAAGGTAAAACAGTAACGTCTTTACATAGTTAAACAAATGTAGCATAAACAAATGCAACACATCTTTACATAGGTAAACATCCCACAACATAAACAAATCTAATACATCTTTACATAGTTAAAGAAATATTGCACAACAGTATAGTACAAAATTCCCTTCAAATCAAGTATGCTGTATGACTGTGGACTATGATTTAGTTTTTACTCAAATATTTGGGAGAAAGGATAAGAAAATGTATAGCATATGACAGTCACTAAGTGGTGTTGATGTCCATCTGGCTTTGGCAAAAGCCAAAAACTCGTGATATAGATAATACACATGTCAGAGTATTTGATTTAAAAAGATACTATAATAAGGCAAAAAGATATACTACACAGAGAAATCCTGTCTCAAAACAAAAAACAAACAAACAAACAAAAAACCCCCAAAAATTTATTTGGGTGGTGGTGCCACACAACTTTAATCCCAGTTCTTGGCAGGGAGGCAGAGGCAGGCAGAACTCTGACTTCAAGGCCAGCCTGCTCTAAAGAGCTAGTTCTAGGACAGCCACAGCAACACAAAAAACCCTGTTTTGAAAAACTAAAAGAAAGGAAAAAGGTAATAAAAAATTGAAAACATGGGACTGGAGTGATGGCTCAGTGGTTAAAAGCACTAGGGTTCAATCCCCAGCATCCACATGGCAGGTCACAAACTGTAACTCAAGTTCCAGTGGATATGATGTCCTCTTCTGGTCTCCAAGAGCACTTCATGTCAAATATTCTGACAGAAACGTACACACACACAAAAAAAAAAAACCCAAAAAACAAAAACAAAAACATCCAGGAGTAGTGGTGCATGCATGCCTTTAATCCCTTTGAGGCAGAGTCAGGTGGATCTCTGTATTTCAGGTAAGCCTGGTCTACAGAGTGAGTTCCAGACCAGCTAGGACTATATAGAGACTGTCTCAAAAAATTATTTTTAAATGTCATTAAGTGTTTAAAACTTCAGAGGTTAGAAGTCAGTTTTGCACACATAAATTATATAGATTGGATTAAATACTTATCTCTCTCCAAAGACTTACACTTTTTTTTTTAAACAGTTTCTCTATGTAACCTTGCCTGCCCTGGAACTAGCTATGTAGATCAGGTTAGGCCTGAACTCATAGAGATTTGCCTGCCTTTGCATCTGAGTACTAACATTAAAGGTATACACTTAACTTTTATGTATATGACTATTTCACCAGTGAAAGAGGTAAACTAAACTCAAAGGCTTTACTTCTACTAATTTAGAAATAGAGGGACCAGACCCTCACTCAGCCCCTGCTTTAGCAGCCATGACAAGCTACCGAAAAGACATGTAGGCCTCTGACACAAGGAAACTCCAGATCCTCTGGCCTCCTGGAGTCTAGGGCCAAAACTGAACCCAAAGAAACTCCAGACTCTCCCACCCCCATAGCTTCCTAGATACTTGGTTCCTGGGAACTGTTTGGCCACAAAAGAAACTCCAGGGGGACCAAAACCCTCCCTGCAGTCTCCAGGATATAGTTCTGAAAACTATTGGTATCTATGTATAACAGGCCACCTGCAAGTAACAAGACAATGCCATAGAAACCACAGAATGTTCCCTCTCAAAATTGACCAATGAAAATAATTTATACACAGGTATTTCATGCCAAAATATGACTTTGAGAAATTCTCCCAATTGTTCCCAAATGTAAACCAATCAGAAACCAACTCATACCTACTGATGTAATCCTGTAACTTTTGTCTTTAAAACCTAGCAGTAGACAGGGAACTCCCACTGGAGGCTGCTGCAACAGCTAGCCAGACAGGGTCCCTGTCTTGGGTGGATGAACAATTAGAACCTTGCTTTTGTAGCTTAGGGGGTCTATCTTCCTGGTGGTCGCTGGAGACTTTGCAACTTGGGCACAACATTCAACATGTGTTATGTGCTCAGGGTATTGGATCACTTTGGAACTAGAGTTACAGACAGTTGTGAACCACCATGTGGGTGCTGGGAACCAACCCCATCCTCTGCAAGGAAAGCAAGTACTCCTAGTTATTGGACTATCTCTCTCTCCTTCTCTAAGATATTTTACAAGGTGTGTATGTTAATAATATGTAGGAGTCTGTGTCATGACATTGAAAAAAGATAAATCCTTCCAATTTCTCAGTAAGACATTATTTGAACTATAGTGACAGGAAATGTACTATTTATTTCCCCTAAGAATTCTGTTTTCCTAAAATGGCAATACATTGCTAACATTCCTGTAAGGACAAATGGCATTCTCTAAAAATGATATGTGTGGTAGGGAAAGATACACTTGAATATCACCACTTTCTCCAGTTTTTACTCTTTATATAATATAATCACCACTTCTCTACATTTACTCTTTACATAATAAAATGGTTATATAATCCTGAAGATCTATAGGAATCAAGTTTATTTTTAGAAGTTGCTATGTTTGGGTAACACAGGATTGGAATTGAATTTTAAACATAATCCCTCCTTAGTTTTGCTTATAGATAGTTATTTTCAGTGTTTGGCTTTAGTCTGAGTTCTTTTCATGTTTTGGCATTGTGTCTCATGTTATATCATAGCTGAGACTGCAAGCTATAATTGCATACTGGTTGCCTTTCTACTGCAAATCTCCTATTTTTAAGGGCTGCAGTTTACCATAAACCCTTGTATTTAGTTGACTTTATTTCTAAACACAGGTACTCTTTTTTAGAGACCAATTTCTTTTACATTCTCCCAGTAAAATAAAGTCAGATGCAGTATTCTTTTTATATTGGCCATCTGCTCTGTTCAGTAGAAAATGCAAATTTTTATAATCTTCCAAGTTAAGATTCTGAAAAATGTTATTTTAGTATCTAAAAACATGAACAGATCAGATAGGAAAGAAAGCATGGGAAAATGCTGAGTGTGTCAAACATTTACCAAAAGAATCAATCATTAAGCAGGTATCTACAAAAAACTGAATGGAAAATTAAAGCTAATATATTAATCAAGCCTGTTTTAGAGATTAGGTGTTAAGATCACTGTTTACATTTTTTAATTGAATTACTAATATAATTACTGTTTTTAAAATTTTTAATGTGTGCTAAAGATGGAACCTAGGGCCTTGTTTATTTATTTGTTTGATACCATCTCAGGTAGTCCTGGATGGCCTCATACTATGTAGTTGAAACTGGCCTTGAGTTTCTCATTCTTCTGTCTTCATTTTCACAATGTTGTGATTAATAAACTTGGGCCACAAGCTAGGCAAGTACGCTACCATTGGGTCCAATTCCAAGACAGTATCAGTGGGTTTGCTAAAGCACCTAAGACTTGATCAGAAAAAATTCATTTATTTAGACAGAACCCAAAAGACAATTACCAAATACTTGCCATATTCAGGTCCAGGCTTTACCAAATCTACTTATAAACATTGAAACCAACAATACTGTATTCAGACTATTTTCTTTCTTAAAAAGATTTACTTATGCTGGGCGTTGGTGGCGCACACCTTTAATCTCAGCACTGGTCTACAGATCGAGTTCCAGGACAGCCTCCAAAACAATATAGAGAAACCCTGTCTCCAGAAAAAAAAAAGATTTACTTATTTGTCTATATGTTTTCCCTTCATGCATATATGTGCCTGAGTCAGTCAGAAGAGGGTGGTGGATCCCTTGGAACTGGAGTTACAGACAGTTGTAAATTGCCATGTGGGTGCTAAGAAATGAACCCAGGTTCCCCAGAAGGACTCTTAAACTCTGAGTCATCTCTCCAGCCCCATACTATTTTACTATTTTCTTTCCTTCATTACTTCCTTCCTTTGTGTGTGTGTGTGTGTGTGTGTGTGTGTGTGTGAGACGTTGGAGACTGAATTTAGGTTCTCATCTCATGCATACTAAGGCATGCTCTGCCACTGAGTCTTTCTAAATTGCTCAGGTTGGCTTTGAACTCTATAGTACAGGCAGACCTTGAATTCACAATCCTCTTGCACTAGCCTCCCAGTTAGCTGTTATTAGAGGCCTGTAACACAAGCCTCTCTATGTAGCAGCCTGGCTGTCCTGGAACTCATTCTGTAGAATGCAGTAGAAAAGGCAACCAGTATGCAGTTAATGAAGAATTTATATATTACTTCTCTTTTTTAGAATTGGGCCTTCTAAAAGACAAGATTCATTCAACTTACTATCATATCTTTATTTAAATCCCAACAACATCCTGACATTTGGTTTTATTGCCATGTTTTATTTAATTATATTTTAGTTTCATAGTTAAATTGGTATCATTAATCAAACTAAAATTAGAATTTTATTTCAGCACTCTAGGGAAAATGAAAGCAATGAATGGAGTAAAAGATACAAATTATTTTATATCAAGGAAGGAAAAATGATATAGTATTCCCTTGATAAAGTCAATTATAGTTAAATGACTTACTAGTAAATATGTGGAATATTTAAAAAAGAAAATCACAGGTTCTGATAAGAGAATAGTGACCTTCCAGTAGTATATCTAAATTTATACTTTTTTGTTTTGTTTTGTTTTTTGAGATAGGGTTTCTCTGTGTGACCCTGGCTGCCCTGGAACTTGCTCTATAGACCAGGTTGGCCTCAAACTCAGAGATCCACCTGCCTCTGCCTCCCAAGTACTGGGATCAAAGTCATGCACCACCACTTTTATACTTTTAAGGACTAGATGACTGAAAGGGAATATGGATGCAGAATAAAATTTAGCTGGGTGTGGTAGCACATGCCTTTTATCCCAGCACTTGAGAGGCAGAGACAGGCAGATCTCTGTGAGTTCAAGGCCAGCCTGGTCTACAGAATGAGTTTCAGGACAGTCAGGCTGCTACATAGAGAGGCCTGTTTCAAAAAAACCAACCAACCAACCAACCAACCAACCAAACAAACAAAAAACTCTAAGTCACAAAGAACAGAGGCAAAACACATCAATTCCCTAAGCTGGTTTATCACTTAAACAACAGCACAGGTTACACTATATCTATGTGAAATTACAAGTACAGGCACTTTGTATTAAAGATTATTTATTTAATTTAGTTAGGGCTAAGTATCTGCCCCTTTTCCCCAGAAAAAGTTTCATGAAAGTGGCTATAAATTCACTATGACCTTGAATTTCTGATCCTCTTGCTCCCACTTCTTTTCTTTTCCTTTCTTTCTTTCTCTCTTTCTTTCTTTTGGCAATTTTTGAAACTGGGTTTCTCTGTGTAACAGTCCTGGCTGTCCTGACATGTTCTATAGATCAGGCTGACCACTTGTCTCTGCCTCCTGAGTGCTGGGATTAAAGGCGTGTACCACCACTGCCTGGCTTTTGCTTCAACTTCTGAGTACTGGAATAACAGGCAAGTGCCAAAAACACCCAGTTTATTTGGTGCTAAGGATGAAACCCAGGGGTTTATGAATGCTAGGCAAGCACGTAACTAACTGAGCTACATTTTCTATCTTATCAAGGTTTTCTTTTCTTTTTTGAGACAGGGTTTCTCTGTATTGTTTTGGAGCCTGTCCTGGAACTCTCTCTATAGACTAGGCTGGCCTCGAACTCACAGAGATCCACCTGCCTCTGCCTCCCTATTGCTGGGAATAAAGGCCTGTGCCACCAATGTCCAGCTTCTTCTTCTTTTTTTTTTTTTTTTTTTGGTTTTTACCAGGCAGGGCTTCTCTGTATTGTTTTGGAGGCTGTCGGTCCAGCCCAGCCTTGAACTTACAGACATCCACCTGCCTCTGCCTCCCTAGTGCTGGGATTAAAGGCATGTGCCACCACCGCCCGGCTAATGTCCAGCTTCTTAAAAAGGTTTTCTTTCTTTCTTTTTTTCTTCTTCTTTTTTTTTTTTTGTTTGTTTTTTGTTTTTTGAGACAGGGTTTCTCTGTGGCTTTGGAGGCTGTCCTGGAACTAGCTCCTGTAGACCAGGCTGGTCTCTGAACTCACAGAGATCCATCTGCCTCTGCCTACCAAGTGCTGGGACTAAAGGTATGTGCCACCACCACCCTGCCTTATAAAGGTTTCCTAATGTAGAGTCTCACCCTTGTCCAGGCTGACCTAGAACTCAGGGACTCACTATGAGGTACAGGCTGGGCTCACAGTATGACTCTGGTTTTGGTTTTTCAAATGTTAGGATTACAAGCATGAGCCATTGTGTTCAGCTTTCATCTTTAAAGTATGTAGGACAACTGTTAAGGTCTTTACATTGAAAATAAAAATGCCATAGAAAAAAGGAAAATTTCCAGGAAATATTCTCCAATCAGTAGCCTTACAGAATTATATAATAAACTATGTTATGGGTACTTTTTTACTGCAGTTTGCATTTCACAAATTACCTAGAGCTCTGTAGTGCTCCAGTAGGCAACTCTCTTCTTTCGTGCCAGACAGATCAAGGTCATGAAAGTTCTGTATTAAAAGTCTTCTACTTCCACAGGATGTTGAAATATAATTAATTATGTGCTGGCTGACTGTTTTGGACACCATGCTTAACATGCCAATATCCTTCACTATGAGAAAAATAAATACATTTAAAACAAAACAAAGAAATAAATTTATATAAAATATGGCTGCAAATTATTTAAATCACCATTAGTATACTCTATTAACATATGTTAACTCACTAATAATACAAATGACTTATATACAAAAGCATCATTATTAGTAAGGTCTATTAACCTACAAATTAACTTACTAATCATAAACCTAGTGCCAGGTATGTTGGCTCACAGCTGTAATTTCAGCACTTGGGAGGTTGAGGGAGGCAATTTGCCAGGTGTTTGAAGCTAGCCTGAGCTGTAGAGTAAGTTCCAGGATAGCCTGGGCTATGAGCCTGCTTTAAAAAAACAAAAACAATAAACAAACCTAGTGCTGAAAAAGATCTTAATATTGTCTAAAATCCAGTTCTCAATAGAAACATGGTGGGAAATAACAAGCTACCATATTATTACTATTGAGATAACTTAGAGGTGGTAGTAGTTGTTTGGATTTTGGTGGGATTTTTAAAAAAATGTTTTTTTCTTGAGACAGGGTCTCTCTCTGTGTGACTCTGGCTATCCTGGAACTTGTCCTGTAGACCAGGTCTGCCTCTGCCTTTAAGTGCTTTATTTAAAGGTGTGTGCCACTATCTGCTGAGTATTTTTAAATAATTTATTTAACTTTATGTATTGGTGTGAAGATATCAGATCCCCTGGAACTGGAGTTACAGACAGTTATGAGCTGCCATGTGGGTTCTGGGAATTGAACTTGGATCCTCTGGAAGAATAGCCAGTGCTCTTAACTGCTGAGCCATCTCTCCAGCCCACTGAGTATTTTTTTTTAAGGCTGGATCACGCTACCCAGTTTTGTCTGTCCTGAAGCTTACTATGTAGATCAGGGTGGCTTGGCACTCAAAGAGATATTCCTGCTTCTGCCTTCCAAGTGCTGGGATTTAAGGCATGTACCACCATGCCCAGCAAGGTTTTTGTTTTTGACAGGATCTTGTTATGTAGCCCAGACTGGTCTGATATCTTGCCTTAGCATGCTTGGTGCTGAAACTACAGGTATGTACTGTATCCTGCCTACAATGTCTTTACAAAATTTGAACATTATTGTGGGTAGTCCTCATGGTACTGTCAAGCTGGCTGCCTCTTGCAGTCTCCTAAGTAAACTTTCTTGTTGAAAAAAGTGACAGAGAGAGGACAGAAACAGAGGAAAGGGAGCAAGAATTGAACTGTACATTTAATTTTAGCTTTGAATGTTATCAACATTCCCAAATGATATTTATATAGCTGAAATAAAGAGGGCAAACTAATACTTGGGAAATTATAATATTCTAATATCTTATAGAACACATATCTAGCCCCCAAACCTCACCTGACAAATATCTTAAAATTATGTGGAATATTTCCAATGGTAACATTTTAAAGTCTCCAAGTGTAGATAAGAGTTGAGGATCTGAATCAAGGGTGTTGCAAAAATAGCTGGATTGATGGTTAGTACGTTTACATTTCTGGTTGGGTATCAAAGTGTAACTGGTATTTGCTTTAGATGCCATCTTTTCGTATCCTATGGATTTATCCTGGTCGGAAAAACAAAGCACAAGACACAAAGTAAAAATTAAGGTAATGGAGATTTTTTTTAAGTTAGGAGTCACACTTTCTGTTCTTTTATCCCCCTCTTAGTGTTGCTGATCAAACCCAGGGCCTTAGGCATGCCAGACAAGTACTCTATCAAGTGAGGTACTATTGACAGTCTTCTACTACAAACAGTAAAAACAAAGAAAAAGAGACATTTTAATTTTAGAGCAATTTGAATGTACCACCTCTAACACATTAAAACTGGCTTTAATACTGTTATGAAATATGTGCTGAATAATACACAAATAAGCAGTGACATTGGAAATTTCTATTCAGATCAATTATTTTTTAAAAAAGATTTGGGACTAGAGTTTAACTATGTGGTTCAGGCTCTTCTCTAGGTTGATTCCTGCTTCAGTCTTCTAAGTACTGGGATAAAAGGTATATTACCACTGAATCTTGCTAAAAATTAAAGTTATAAGGCTACATAGGAGGTGAATAATACATTTCCCTCCTTTTCTGTCTTTATTAGTAACAGTTATAAATAAGTCTTAGGAAAGGCCTATACAAGTTGATTTTACAGTCATTTCTTAAAGGGAATTTGCTAAATGTGACATTAAAAATCACTGATTATTTGCTTACGCTAAACAATAACACTTTAAAGGCAAAGTAAGCATCACACAGTGACTTTGTATTATTCCACTGTTCTAGTTAGAAAACCATATATTTGTTTTGTATATGTGTGTACAATTCCATTTTAAGTTCTCTGAAGAAGCCTGAAGCAACAACTAAGACATTCCATCACAATTACCATATAGCTGAGCAAAAAAATACAGTTTTTCCTTTCTATAAAAAGTAACTAGCTGGGCGTTGGTGGCGCACGCCTTTAATCCCAGCACTCGGGAGGCAGAGGCAGGCGGATCTCTGTGAGTTCGAGACTAGCCTGGTCCACATGTCAAATGCTTACAAAAATATAGCTTAACGAAAGAATGTATTTTGTGTTTATATCATTGTCAAAGTAATAATAATAGTTATGTATTTCTTTTTTAAAGGTAAGTATTTGTATTATACTGTAATCTTGTTATAATGTAATTATATGCCAATACATGTTTTTCTACAAGAATATGTATTTTAGTATCTTCATATAAATCCAAGTGGAAGAATTCTGACTGAATTAATCAACAAGGCTGTTTTTATTTTTAACTTTTTTGTTTTGTTTTTTGAGACAGGGTTTCTAGGTAGCCCTAGCTTACCTTCAATTTTCTCTGCAGACCAGACTGCCTCTCCAGTGCTGGGATTAAAGCCGTGTGCCACCACTGTCCAGCTTAATTTTAAAGCATATTCACTATAATAAAGTATAAATTTGACCTAGTTTCTGGTTTGTGCCTTTTCTTCCAGGAAATTCTACCCTAGGGTGGGGTTTGTGGACCTTTCAAATATTCATTGACCATCACCTCCCAGGGGTCCTTATCATCCCCTAAGGGTGTAGACTTACGCGTATGTATAATTTTTCATTTAAATCTCTGAAGGACTGAAAATAACTGGCCTCAGTTATTTCAAAACTTAAATCCCAACAAGGCATTGGTGGCACGTCCTTAATCCCAGTACTAGCGAGGCAGAGGCAGGCGGATATCTTAGTTCGAGGTCAGCCTGGTGACAGCCAGGGCTACACAGAGAAACACTGTCTCGAAACTAAAAAAATCCTTAAGTCTCTTATTTTCCTCACTCAGACCTATCTTGGAGGTGAAGGAGGGCAGGCTTTTCTGAAACTATTTCTCTTAGCCTCCTGGGACATGGAGCTCACATCCAAGTGACAATAAGATACTCTTTTCCCTTTTGGATTGCTGGCGTCGAACTCGTGAACTCAGTCAGCCTCCGAAGAACCTGGGTGACAGGCCAGCTCGTCCACCACTAGGGCCTGGACCTCGTCCCCGCCCCACACCCCCTTCTGAGGGGGCGCCCAGCAAAACATCGGGGTTTGTCTTAAAGTTCCGACGTCAGCCCTAAACGTCTCTGAAGAGGCCATCGGGGGACCGCAGGCGAGATTGGCCCGTGTGAACATCAGACAGGAGGTGCTGGAAACCACGGGATTATTTCCACAAGAAAGCGCCGGGGAAGAGAAAACACTTTTTACCACAGATTTCGACAGTTTTCCGGCTACAGTGCCGCAGGAGCGTGGGGCTGAGTGGTCTTGACTCCCCATCCTCAGACTCACAATACTTAAAATCTCCTCAGCGTTTTCCCGCCAGAGACCAGGGGAGGCTCCCGCTCCGCTCCGTCCGCTCCGCTCCGTCCGCTCCGCCCCGCTCGGCTCCCGAGCTCCTACTCAGCTCTCGGGCGCCCCCCGCGCCTCAAGTATGTTTTAGAATTCTCCCAGGAGCCCCCGCGGGAGGCGGCTCCGCCCCCTCGCGAGCAGCCAGCCGCCTGGGCTCTCCTGCCTTCCCGCCCAGGAAACAGGCCACGCCCTCCACGAATACTAAGACCGGTTCCCACAGTGCCCGCCTCCTGTCAGTCACAGGGAGGCCCTGCGAGCGCTCTCCTTGCCACCACCATTTTAAGCACCGCGTTGCGGGCCGTTGTGGTCTGGGAGGAGCGAAGGTGTAATAAAAGAGCTCAAATTTGGGAGAGTCACATGCCTGCCGCTCCGCTTCGTTCTTTCTTTTTCTTCTTACTTTTTTTTCCTCAGACAGGGTTTTCACCGTGTGGCTCTGGCTGTCCTGGAATTCGCTCTGTAGACCAGGCTGGCCTCGAACTCACAGAGATCTGCGTGCCTGTGCCTCCCGAGTGCTGGGATTAAAGGCGAGCGCCGCTGTCACCCGGCCTCCATTTCTTCTTCACTAGGTTTTAAGGCAGTTTTTGGATCCCAATGTCCCCGAGTCAACAGGATATGTCACAAGAGCTTTTACCAAACTTTTTGTTAGATGGCAGGTGTGATGTCACAGCTCTATAATTCCTACACAGGGAAGATGGAGACAGGAGGATTAAACCAGCCTGAGCTACCCGAGAGCCTGTTTCCACCATCCTGTACCACCATTAAAAAAAAAAAAAAAACAATGCTAAGTTCTCGTTTACAGACCCTAGTGCTTCTTTCTTTCCTTCTATTTATTTATTTATTTATTTATTTATTTATTTATTTATTTATTTAGAGGCAAGTTCTCCTTAGGTAGCCGAGGCTAGCCTGAACCACTGACTCTGACTCTAACCATTTAGAGCACATTCGGGGATTGATTCAGTGTCTGTGGAAGCCTACAGCTGTCTAGGAGGTCTTAAAGGTACAACAGAGAATGATACATATGTTTACGGCCTTAAGACAGTTTATCAAAAACTATCGTAGGAAATAGAATGTACAAAGTAGCTACAAATGGAACCCCGAGGGTTACAGAGGAAATGGCAACATAGAGTGAAGTGTTGGAGGAGGGGCTAGTGTAGTTGGACTGGATTATAAAGGTCTCTTTGAGGAGGGTGACACTTAATTTGAGAATTTAATGGAGAAGACACCAGTTAGGGGACAGCTGAAGGAAGAGAGTACTATCGAAAAGAGTCTCCTATTTGGGGGTCATCAGTTTCATATTAAAGCAACAAAAGTTTTTAATGTGTAAACAAAATTGCAGGCATGTACTCGCGCGCGCACGCACGCACGCACACACACACACACACACACACAATGACTTAAAGGTTGAGCTAAAATTCAGGATTAAAGTTGGGTGTAGTGGCAGTACACATCTCTAATCCTAGTCCTGAGGAGGCAGAGACAGGAAAACCAATAGTTCTAGACCATGCTGACATGTCATTAGTACAAACATTTATCCATGATTTTTTTTCACAGCAATTGTAACCCTAAGACATGATAATGGTATTTTAGTCATAGCTCAGAATCTTCAAGAATCCAAATGTAAGTTTTTTTAAAAAAATATTTATTTATTATGCCTACATGCCAGAAGAGGGCACCAGATCTCATTATAGATGGTTGTGAGCCACCATGTGGTTGCTGGGAATTGAACTTATAACCTCTGGAAGAACAGTCAGTGCTCCTAACCTCCAAGCCAAGAATGTAAGTTGACTCTCTGCCATGTCATGTGCATGAGAGAAGGTCTGCTACAATTATTTTATTTAACAAAATAAGCATCTATTATTATTTTTTTAAGATTTATTTATTTATTACATACATAGTGTTCTGCATACATGCCGGAAGAGGGCACCAGATTGAATTATAGATGGCTGTGAGCCACCATGTGGTTGCTGGGAATTGAACTCAGGACCTCTGGAAGAGCAGTCAGTGCTCTTAACCTCTGAGCATCTCTCCAGCCCCAGCATCTATTATTTTATTGTGAAAATCTTGAATATCACTCTCTTTGCTCTTGGCACTGTTGTGTGACAAAATTATTCCTTTGTGCTAAATTCCAGCGTGAGGATAAATTATTCAAGAACAGCTGTTTTCATGCTGCATAATGCAGACACTTGAGAGGCAGGGGCATCACATGTTTCTTTGATCAAAAAAACAGGACCAAGAGAGTGCTTGGTGGTAGAATGTGTGCTCAGTGTATGTGAGTCTCTGGGTTCAGTCTCCAGTACCAACAACCAAACAACCAGCCTACAGGGTTCCCCATGCAAATATTCATTAAAAACTCCCGTAAGAAGGGCCTGGTATGACACTTAGTAAAGCTCTGACCTTGCAAACACAAGGCCCTCAGTTTGATTCCCAGAACCATGTAAAAGAGCTGTCATGTGATATGTGCTTATAATCCATGCACTGGGGAAGTAGAGAAAAGTAGATTCCTGGAGCTCTCTAGCCAACTATCCTCATCTATTTGGCAAGTCCCAAAAAGTAGATGTCAGAGGAAGAATGCCTAAGGTTTCCCTCTAGCCTGCACATGCATTTGAATAGTACACAGATGCACAAGCAGGAAAAACACCTGTGCTGTGGAGTAATCTTCTGTACACTGTGTGAATATACGTCACTATGATTGGCTTAATAAACAGGAAAAACACCTGTGCTGTGAGTAACCTTCTGTACACTGTGTGAATATACGTCACTATGACTGGCTTACTAAACAAGCAGACTGGTCAAGAGCTGAACAGGAAAGCCAAACTGAGAATGCTGGGAGGAGGAAGGATAGAGTCAGAGGGTCGTCAGTCAGACGCAGAAGGAGCAAAAGATGAATGTGCTGTGCTAATACCACCACATGGTTGAGTACAAATACGGAATGTGGGTGAACTCTTTTTTTTTTTTTTTTTTGGTTTTTACGAGACAGGGTTTCTCTGTATTATTTTGGAGTCTGTTGGTCCAATGGGTGAACTCTTAAAATGTAAGAGTTAATAACAAGCCTGAGCTATTAGCTGAGCATTTATAATTTATATGATCTCTCCAAGTCAATTATTTGGGAAGTGTGGCCAGTTATTTAGGAACAGGCAGTCAGGACAGGAAACTTTACCTACATATGGTACCCAAACATTCAGCAAGAATTTCCACACAAAACCTGAGAAAACATAACAAAAAGGTTCTAAAATGGCGCCAAGAGTGACTTCCTAGTCTTGTGACTCTTACGCCTGCTGTGATACAAAGATGCATCTCCTGGAAACTGCCAACACACCATGAGCTAAGCCACAGAGTGAGTTCCAAGACAACCAGAGCTGTTACACAGAGAAACCTGTCTTGAAAACCAAAACCAAACAAACAAAACCAGGAAATCAGGTTGATCTAGGAAGACCCCCCCCCAAAACCTGAGATAAAGAAATAAACCTAGGATGGGAGGGAGAGGGAACTGGGATTGATATGCAAAATAAGATAGCTTCTAAATTAAACAAATAAAAAAATAAAAAGAAATAAACCTAAAAGAACTACAAGACACATGATGTATATTTTATCTGCTCAAACACATAACAAAAAAATCATCTTTGGCTGATTTGTATACAATGCATAGTCTATATTTATATTGATACAGATATGTATGTTACCTTTAAAAGTTTATAAATTTTCAGAACAAGGGGACCAAACACCAATAAAAATCAATGGACCAGGTAACCCAGTATCCAAAACAGCTTGAAGACTGCTGACTGAGATGATCTAGCTTCACAGAATACTCTAGCCAAGACCTAACAATTGTCCTGGTTTTCTCAAGGTTCCAGCACCCCCAAATAACAGGAAGTAGTCTAGGGAAAACAATGTCCGCATTCCCAAAATATTGGTTATGGATATTTGTTATCATTTAAGGGGGTTGGTCACAAGTTATTGGTGATGGTCAGGAAAAAAGCTGAACAAAGGAGGTTAGATTCAAGGATCTTTTTCTGGAAAGAAAAAGGGAGATATAAAAATGATGAGATTAAAGACTAGGTTATTAAATCTACTTTAATCCAAAAAATAACTATTAATCTTAAATTGGCATGGATTTTGGTTAATTGATACAAATTTAAAGTTAATTTTGTTATAATGTGTGTATATTTCTACACTTTTTAAAGGTATTATGTTTATATAGCTCATTTAAAAATGTAATGTATAGTTAAGAAACACAGATTAGCAGTCATCTATAATAATCAGATTTATACTCATGTTAGGTATATTTTCAAGGTCATACACAAATGTATTTAGATAGCTGGTCTTCAAAAACTTCAAAGACCTACAGAATATGACATTTAATGTTTAATAATCTAAAGCTTTTCCTGATTGTGAGACATGTCTGCTCTTGGCAGCATCAATCTACTTAAGAGAAGATGATAGTCATAGAAGAAACTCTGTATGGAGTTTGTTTTCTCTTTCTTTCATTCTTTCTTTTTTTTTTTTGATACAGGGTGTTTTTTTTTTGGGGGGGGGGAGATTTCTAGGCAGGGTTTCTCTGTATTGTTTTGGAGCCTGTCCTGTAACTAGCTCTTGTAGACCAAGCTGTCTTCAAACTCACAGAGCTCCACCTGCCTCTGACTCCTGAGTGCTGGGATTAAAGGCATGTGCTACCATCACCACCTTTAGTGATTTGAAAGTCCAGCTCCTAAGCTACTATACAGGATAAACTCAGAGAAGACTTCTCAGGAGAGTTTGAAAGATTTCTATAATAACTTCACACAGGATCTGAGGGTCGTTCTCTTTTATAATTCTGCAGCTCTAATTCTCTTGCTCTAACAGTCTCTAATTCTCTTTAGTTCCAATTCTCTGTTTCAGTTCTCCTTTACTTCTTTGTAGATTAAAGATGCTTTTTACAGGAGACTTGAGGCAATAAGAAAAAAAAGTTACAAGAATTACCCCTCATTGGTCATAGCATGTTCCTTGGGCAAATGATAAAGACAGAGCCATTTACCATGGCAAGATTTTTGGTGTAAGACTGTGACCAGAGGCTGGGGCAC